GTTCCTCTGGTGAATTGTTCTCCCTGTCAGGAATGTCTCCTTACTTCTAGGTTGCTTCTCCCTTTGATAAGCTTCCCTCCATTGCTTCTTGTCCTGCCCTCCGGTGCTTTGGAGAATAAGTGGACCCTCTTGTCTGTGGAGCGTCTTCAGTCCTGCAGCTCAGAGGTGTTTTTTTTCAAAAGGCAACTGGACTTTGGAAGGAAGAACAAAGAAAGTCCAGTTGCCTTTTGAAAAAGCACCTTTGGGACAAGGTGACACACACACCCCTCCTCCTTCTCTGTGGCAGCCCTTCAACTAGGAGAAGACAACTATCACCCTTCTCTTCATTGGGTTAGATATATCTAGCTCCTCAACCATTCATCGTAGAGTTTTGCCTCCAGATCTCTTATCATCTTTGTTGATCAGGGTCCTGTGACCGGAATTAGATGCAGTATTCACCCCGACACACACACACACACACAAAAGAGGTTGAGACTCTAGAAAGAATGCAGATAAGAGCAACAAAGATGATTTGAGGTCTGGAGGCTAAACCCTATGAGGAACAACTGAGGAAACCAGGTGTGGCTATTCTAAGGAAGAGAAGGACTAGCGGGGACCTGGCAGATGTCTTCCAGAATTTGAGGGGCTGTCACAAGACAACAGAGGGTCAGCCCATTCTCCGATGCTGAGGGCAGGACAAGAGGTGACGGGTGGAAGATCATGAAAGAGAGATCCAGTCTAGAACTAAGGAGAAATTGCCTGAATGTGAGAACAATTAATCAACGGAAAAGAAGTGGTGGGTGCTCCATCAATGGAGGTTTGCAAGAAGAGATTGGACAGCCACTTTTCTGGAAAGGGTTAGGGTCTCCTGCTTGAGCAGGGGGTTGGACTAGAAGACCTCCAAGGTCCCTTCTAATGTATTATGGTTTGTCGCACAGCCAGCCAGATGTTCAAAGTAGCTTAGGGGCATTTGATCAAGCTATCAAGATCTCCTTCCCCAGAGCTACTGCAGTTTTCTTGGAAAAGATTTTCCAAAGCGGCTTGCCGTTGCTTGCTTCCTAGGGCTGAGAGAGAGTGACTGGCCCAAGATCACTCAGCTAGCTGCGTCATTAGAACTCACAGCCTCCTGGTTTCCAGCCTGGTGCTCCACCTCAAGACCAAACCAGCCCTCAACTCATTGTTATCCTTAACTAAAGATGAAACGCCCGAAGCGAGCGTTGAAAATAGATCTCGGTTATTAAAATTAACAGAATTATGACACCAGTAAGTGTCAGATGGCAATTTGAAAGCAGCTTGGCTGCTTTTCAGGAGATCTCGGATGACCTGTCAGCTAAGGAAAGAAGAACTATCTCCTCTGAGCTATTATGAGTCACTCAAGACATGATTAAATCTGCTCTCTTCACACTGGATAAAAAGGGCAAAGCAGAAACGCGCAGGAGACCAAACCCTCCTTGAACATCCCAATCTACGGGGCCATTCCAGCTTTTTTTCAGACGGGTCACCAAATTTTGAGAACGTATCTCCTGGACGTCCCTCTCAGACCACCCACGGACGGTCTGAAGCCACCAGGAAGCCAGGAGGTCTTACCGATGGCGCAGAGGGCATGCTTGAGTTCCAGGGTGAAGGTAGACAGAGGCACATCTTCAGAGACAGGCATGATGGCCACCGTGGCGAGGTTGCTGGCTGGGTTGCTGGCGTCCCACTTGCTGCTGGCAGTGTGCAAGCCCAACTGGTGCCCTGGAGGGGGGGGAGAAGGAAAAAAATCCCACTGGAGAAGACCGTAGGCTGAGGGAAGAAGCATCCAGCCCAAAACTGGCATTAATGTGAAACTTGAGAAGATGGGCCCAAATCTCCGAGGCGCGATAGAAGTAGGTTTGTCAAATCAGGAGATTCAGGCGGTTCAAATAAGTACAGGTATTTCTTGACTGAACCCCAGTTCGTTCAGTGACTGTCCGAAGTTACGACGGCATTGAAAATGGACTCACGGCCGTTTTTGCACACTTAAAACTGTTGGGGAGCATCCCAGTGGTCAAGGGATTAAAATTCGGGACACTGGGCAACCGATTCGTATTGATGACGGTGGCAACGTCCCGGGGTCCTGTGATCCCCTTTCTGCCACCTTCTGACAATGGGGGGGAAGCCAGATTAAACACCCTGTGACTAATTTAACAACTGCAGATATCCACTTAGCAACTGTGGATAAGAAAGGTGGTAAAACGAGGCAAAACCCGCTTAGGAAATTTCTCACTTAACAATTCTGGGCTCAGTTTTTGGTCGTTAAGTGTATACAGTCGGATTGTCCCATTCTTCCTCCCGTAATTCCACGCACAACTGCCCCTCCCCAGCCCCCAAGGAGCAGAAGAAAGAGCCAAAGCATTCCATATCTTACCCCCTTGCTGGAGATTTCCAAGGATTTTCTCACCCAGCAAATGTATAAGCCGCGTCACGACCTGGAGCGCAAAGAGAGGATGGGGGAAAAAAAAAACAACCAGAGATGTAATCGCCACCGTTTAACAGGAGCAGAAAAAACTTTCAGTTGGGAGGGCTGCCAAAACGCTGAGGACCTTTTATAAAAATTTAAAAAAACCACCGCTTCTATTGTCCACTAAAGAGAGAGATTAACCTTAATCTCTCCGATTCTGTTCCAACGGGAGTCTGGCGACTTTTCTAAAGCGATCTTCCTGAAAATCTATGCCAGCGCTCTCCGTGAAAGGTCAGCGTCCATCCTTCTTGGACTTAATTCATCTCACTCCAGTGTACAGGTGGAGAACATGAGTAGGACTTTGTTTGGATAAGAGACCAGGGACTCTCCCAAGCCCGTTTGGAAAACAGCGAGGAGGGGATGGGCAATCCCAGAGGACGGACAAAGGCAGGGAAGGGAGGAATAAAATGTCTTCCAGGTTTGCTCAGCCAAGGAAGGGGTCAGCTTCAGAGCAAAGCTTGAAGACCCCCTTCCATTCCTGGTTGTTGCATTCATCCCAGCTGCTTAACCTAGGTTAAGTGGCGCTTGCAACAGAGCTGGAAGGGACCGTGGAGGTCTTCTAGTCCAACCCCATTTGAGCCAGGAGACCCTGTATCGTTCTGGACCAATGGTGATCCAGTCTCTTCTTAAAAACCTCCAGTGATGGACTGTCTGGGTGGGCGGGAAGAGAGCAAGGACAGACCCTCCCTAGCAATTCAAAGTACATCTATATTTATGCAGATCGCTGGCAAGTTTCTGTCTGTGGGTGAATGACGATAAAGAAACGACTCAGGAGTAGCTCCATATGTTTTTGGGGGGGAAATGGACATTTTTACTATATCCTTAAAGTAAGAACCAACACTAAGCTTGCTTCATATACTTGGGAAAAAGCCAGAAGTCATTCTTTGTACATATTTGGGTTTTCAATAAAGGAGAATGTTTGTAGCTCAGGGCTGAAATGAGGGGTGCTCTCTGAGCTGGGCTGTTTTCTTGCAGACGTTGCACGGCCCAAACTAGCTAACATCATCAGGGCTAGAAGGGTGTGGGGGTCTGCTCTCTCCTTTCTAGCCCTGATGGGTAAACGAAACGTCAGCCAGGAAGCAGCCAAACTCACAGAGTATCAAGGGCCTCTCCTTCGTGCTTTCCTTGTGTTTTCTTTCTATTTCTGCACCCTCTTTTCGTCCTCTGGATTGCTTCTTTGGATTCTTGGCTTATGTGGGTTTCTTTTACGGGCGGGCTTCATCAAAAGCAACAGATATTATTGGAAAGAAGTAGGTCCACTGCTCAGAGTCCCTTGATGTCAGATGTTTGGATGGGCAAGAGGCAGGCCACTTGTGTGGACGAGGTTCAGGACCCCCGGACGTGCGTGAACTTCTGAAGCCCGCGAAGGTCAGGGAGGAGGGAGGGGTAAGAGAGAGGGGGGGGGCTCTGCAGCCCGCTTTCACGTGAAGCCACGGGCTCAAAAACAAGTGTGCAGCCCCAGCACAGCGAGCTGCCTTCTGCCACTGGGTGAGTCACTCCACGGCTGCTATGGCAACCTAACAGGAACATCAATTTGGGGTGGGAACAATGCGTCTGGCACGCACACTCCTTGGGAGTTTAAAAGCTGCTTTTTCTTTGGGGAAAGGAGGCACGCTGTCCTGCCCACCCCTCTTTGGTGGAAAGGGAGGGGGAAAAAACCCCCTCCCTCTCTATAAACCCCTAAGATGTCAGTAAACACTTCTTTTTTTCTTTCAAAAAAAAGAAAGGGGAAAACAAAAAGAGGGGGGGGGAAGGAAAAATAAGTTGCAATCAAGACAGCCAAGCTGTTTCCTCCAGCAATTTTGCACTTCTTCCAATCTTTACAGCCAGCAGGGAAAAGGGAAGGAGTCCTGGCCACTTGTCGTTGCCATCAGGAACGAATCTGCCTTGATAACAGCAGAGTAACGGAGTTGGGTGGGACCATGGAGGTCCTCTAGCCCAGCCCGCTGCTCAGTCTTTCCCGTGCAGAGGATAATGTGCGTGGTAGTCTATTGGGAGCCAACACGTGAACAGCTGGAAGGAACTGTGCGTGAAATCTGCTCCTGGAGAACCTCAATAAAAGGGACGTCAAGAACGGGGTCTCTCATCCAAGGCAGGAGGATCCCTCTGACTCTTATAAGCAGAGCGGAAAAGCAACAATGGGTTTGCTCTGGCGTTCGGCCCCGAGTCCTCGACTTACGACCGCAAATGGGGGGGGACCCGGATTCCCAATGCTAAGCAAGCTGGTTTTAAAGCGAGTCAGGCCCAATTTTAGGATCATTTTTTGCCAGGGTGGTTAAGCGGATCACGTGGTCATTCAGCCCCATTAATTGCCATGTCGGAGGGTCGCAACGGATGGATCATGTGACCCCAGGACGCTGCAACCGCTGTCAATTGCGAGCCGGTTGCCAAGCGCCCAAATGCTGTTCACAGGACCGTGGGAAGCCCAAATGCTGTTCACATGACCGTGGGAAGGCTGCAGTGGTCGTTGAGTGCGAGGACTGGCTATACATCACTCTTTCCAGCAGAGTTGTGACTTCAAATATTCTCTGGACGAATGTTTGTAACTCAAGGACCAAATTCTCTCCGTCGTGTCTAAAACCGTAACGTTATTATTTTTTTTAAAAAGGGGATGGGGTTGTTTTTCCCCCTGATGCTGCTCAGGATATACCAGACACCCTCAAAGCAGCCGTAACAAACACCCCGATCATCTTCCGTGTCACAATCAAAGTGCGGCTTTTAAAACTCTGCTTACTAAGTAGGGCAGGGAAAAAAATAAGTCAAATGTAGCTGCGTGGCCCAGTTTCTCCTACGAAAACCGCAACCGCCGCTTTGCTAGGAATAATAGACAGATGGAGCGCCCTTCTAAAAATAAAGTAGCTTTCAAACGCACACAAGTTGTCAGGAGGACACCCTGGCAATCGCTGTGCTACGGTGGGGGCAAAATAAAATAAAATAAAATTATTGAGTGGGCCAGATCCACATTTAGACAACACACATTGGAAACCTGGGATTTTGCTCTCTTCTCGTCTTCCTTACGCCATGGGGAAAGAAGGTTTTAATCTCCAAAGCCCCAAAAGGCAGGACAAGAAGCAACAGATGGAAATTAATCAAGGAGAGAAGCAACCTGGAACTAAGGAGAAATTTCCTGACAGCGAGAACGATTCACCAGTGGAACTGCTTGCCACCAGACGTTGTGGGTGCTCCATCACTGGAGGTTTTCAAGAAGAGATTGGAAAGCTACTTGTCTGAAACGGTGTAGGCTCTCCTGCTCGAACGGTCACTAAATGACCCGTTGTAAGTTGAGGATTACCTGTGCTCTAGGCAAGGAGTTTTGTCTACTAGGTGAGCCGTGGGATCCCTCTCTGCGGGGATCATTCTTGACCTGAATTCAGACGACAGGCAGAGCACCCTTCCTACCTGTGGGAACTTGCGTTTGATCGAGCTCAGAGCTCCTTCAGGAAGCTTGGCCAGCTCAGAATCCCGAACAGCGTGGACCGTCGTCGCCCTGGGCTGGTGAGTGAGTGCTTCAACCTGGCAGAAGGAGACAAAATTGTTATTAAAACGGCGTCAGAAACCGCTGACCCGTTGCCGAGAAGGCCCTGGTCATCCTTCACAAACAAAGCTTCTACGGGATCCGGATATTTGGCTTCTTCTTGGCAGCCTTTTCCCCCAAACCCTAATTATGACGCCTGGCCATCCCTAAAGGACACTGTCAAATCTTAGAACCGTCCCTTTCTGAGCAGCTGTATGGACTTCAGCTCCCAGAATTCCCCGTCCACCGCGGAGAATTCTGGGAGCTGAGAAAGCCACTTTTCTGAAGAGCTGGCAGGAGTCTGCGTCGACCGACGGGATCTGAGCGTTTCTGGCAAACAAATGGGAGAGAAAGAATATTTGTAGCCCAGGCTTGAACTGTGGGCCAGGGGGGTCTTTGGTTGCTTCTGCTGAAAGCAGCTGAGCTCAGACAGCATCAAGGACACCCCCTCCCCAAAATGCAGAAGAGCACAAAAGCAGGGGGACGAGCAGTGAGTTGTCACATTCTGCCCAGCGGGGGCTGCTGACATTTCATGCTTCGAACTCAGCCTGGTTTCCTGCTGCTTTGCTCCACGATAAACCTCAGCTGAGCAGGGCAAGAGAGACCCAAGTCAGCCGATGGAATCACAGGACTGGAAGGGACCTTGGAGGTCATCTAGTCCAACCCCCTGCTCAGGCAGGAAAGCCTATCCCGTTTCAGACCAAGGGCTGTCCCAATCTCTTCTTAAAAACCTCCAGTAATGGAGCACCCATAACTTCTGGAGGCAGGTTGTTCCACTGGTTAATTGTTCTCACTGTCAGGAAGTTTCTCCTTAGTTCCAGGTTGCTTCTCTCCTTGGTTAGTTTCCATCCGTTGCTTCTTGTCCTGCGTTGTGGTGCCTTGCTTGGAGAATAGGTTGACCCTGTTTTTCCTTGTGGCAGCCCCTCAAATATTGAAAGGCTTCTATCAGGTCTCCCCTAATCCTTCTTTTCACTAGACTAGACATACCCAATTCCTGCAATGGTTCTTTGAATATGTTTTAGCCTCCGGTCTCCTTTATTGTTCTTCTCTGTACTCTTTCTAGAGTCTCAACGTCTTTTTTTTTTAATAGCGGGGCAGCCAAAACTGGACGTTATTTTTTAGCGAGTTACGTGGCATCTGTTTTTAGCTGATTGCTTTTCGTTTGGAGAGCACCGCAACAGTAGCCAAAGAGGTGCCTTCGTCCAAAGCCTCTGGAAATGGGTGGAGGCATGCTTAAGGATGGGAACTGGAGAGGGAGAAGGAGAAAGAAGAACAGCCAAGAAGAACACGGCGCTAGAGATCCTGCAAGAACAGAGTGTCTCTTTCAAAAACTCTCTTAGGGGCCACTCCTGGTTGCCAACGATCTCAGTCCTGCTGAAGGAAAGCCAACATTTCTGCTGCAACGTTCAGGCCGCCAAGACACTTCAAGTTGAGGAAAGAAACGGGAGTGCTTTCTCTTGATGAGTAGACAAGTAGAGTCTCTACACCATGCCAGAAAGAGGAGACGGACGTCCGGCATTGAAACGTGTCTCCAAAAAGAGCTCGTCTCCTCTGGGACATTGAAAAAGAGAGAGAACCTCAACCTGCAGGTAGAAGGGGTGAAGTTCTCAACAGGACTAAAGGGATGGATTTGCCTTCTTCTGTCCTTCAGTTCTCATGGGCTTCCCAACTTATCCGCCAGGTGAGTCCCATTTCAGCCAATCAGATATTTTGTGGAGGTCCATCACCATGAAGAAAAGTTACCAGTCATTCATGGTGGTTCTCTGGTCTACAAAGAAGTCCTCACGGGAGACTCCCTTTATATAGGAACGTTCCTCTTTGCTAGTATTCTGGATCTGGGGAGATAAGCCACCTTCTCCCATTAACTAATGGTGACCTTCCTCTTTATTGCTCTGTGGTCCTCTTCTGTCCTTCAGTTCTTATGGGGCTCACAACTTAAGAGCAGGTCTACCAGAGGAGTCCCGTTTCAGCCAATCAGATATTCCGAGGAGGTCCAGCGGCACAGAGAGAAGGTAACAGCCATTCATGGTGTGCTTTTCAAAAGGTAGCTGGGTTTTATTTGGTCCCCCCCCCTTTGTCATTGTTAATTGGTTCCAGGAGGCATCATGAGTACCAAAAACAATGAGCAGCAAACAATATTTTCCCCCATCAGGAATAACGTAGTGAATCACAAGGCAAGTTCTAGCTTCGCCTAAGACGCTTTGAGTACCAACGTTGATGGGTTTCAAAGCAGCTGAGTACTAAGGGACCACTGGTAGACTGGGAAACCATTTGACTGGGATGGTGTAAGTTCTCCTGCCTTGGTCAGGGGTTGGACTGGAAGATCTGCAAGGTCCCACCTCCCAGCCCTACGATTCTGTGTCCTACGAAATCTCCAAAGGCCCCTCTATTTTGGAAGAGCTCAGGGTTCTGGAGCAGGTACTTTAGCAGAAAAAATATCCGAAAAGAGCCGAACAAGGGGATATTCCAAGAAGATGGATGACATCAAAGTAAGCTCCTTTTAAGGGTAAATTAATTGGCTCTCTATTCGGATTTCAACCCAGCGTTTAATCAAGCACGGCATTGGAAAATTGCTACTCGCATCTTGGACAAAAGGAGGGATTAATCACGTCATTTAACTTTTCCAGGTCGAGAGAAGAATCCTTGTTACCTTCAAGAGGCAGGGCACTTAAAACCATTTACACAGGTGTTGGTGCTTTGCAAAAAAAAAGCTGGGAAATCAGTCGAGGGAAGCATATTTTAATTAGCCAAGATCAATGCTATTGACGCCCGTTTTTTTTGGGGGGGGGGTTGGTTACTATTCAAAGCAAACGAAAAGTAAATCCTTTCTAAGCTGCGAGGGTTTTGGCACTTATTTAAGATGATATTCTCCAGAGTCCTTCCGGTGCAACAGGCTGGATCAATTACCATCCATCTCTCAAAGCCTTTAGGATAGCTAAGGCTCCACACTAAAGCACTGTTTTTCCAATAATAAGCGTAAAAATAACCTTCTGCAACTCTTCAAAAGAGACTGCTGTTCAGAGAGGTTTAGAAACATCTGGGCTAGTGGTTAGGCACCAAGCTACAAAGCAGGAGACCGTGGGTTCACGTCCTGCCTTAGCCATGAAAGTCAGCTGGGTGACCTTGGGCCAATCACAAAGAAATGGTGAGTTCTAGCTCTGTCTTAGGCGTGGAAGTCTGCTGGGTGACTTTGGACCAATCACCAGGAGACGGTGAGTTCTAGTCTGGCCTTAGGCATGAAAGCCAGCTGGGTGACTTTGGACCAATCACCAGGAGACGGTGAGTTCTAGTCTGGCCTTAGGCATGAAAGCCAGCTGGGTGACTTTGGACCAATCACCAGGAGACGGTGAGTTCTAGTCCCACCTTGGATACGAAATCCGGCTGGGTTACTTTGGGCCGATCCCCAGGAGACGATGACTTTTGCCCCTCCCATTCTACTTCTATTTGCAGTTCTAGTTTCTTCGGGCAGTCCTCGGCTTACGAGCCCAACGTTCAGGTTGCAAAGGGGGAAACTGGCGAAGGGAGTCTTGCCCCCCCCTTTTTTTTACGACTCGTCTTGCCGCCGCCGTTAAACGTGAGCCCTGATGTTTTCCTCTCTGGAGGAGGAAAGGCAGCAGCTCCACGGAGCCCTTCGAGATCGCCGCTCAAAGAAATCAAGTGCTTTTTTTGCTCCTCGCCCCACCTGGCTAGTATTTATGAGCTGAATTAACTAGGAAGTTTCGGACAGGCGCTTTTATCCCCCTCTCCTGGAGCGTATAATGGAATTTGCAGGCTCACCAGCTGGCTCCCAGCAGCTCTGGCTAATTTAATTTCAGATCCACGGTGATATATCACCCAGGGCTGAGGCGGCCTGCTGCTAGCGAAGTTGTCTCGTTTTGCTGCAGAGTTTACTTAAAGAGAAGTTGCCCACGAAACACGTACCGCACTTGGGAACTGCATTTCGCAGACAACACAGGCGGTCCTCGACTTGTGAGCACGATTGAGCCCAAGCGAGAGAGTTACTAAGTGGGTTTTGCCCCATTTTGCCCCATTTCCTTGCCAGAGTCCTTAAGAGAATCAGGGATGTTTGCCTAGGGAGGTTCTCAGCCATCCAGGTGATGGCTGTCCCAAAGGTGTTCTGTTTTTTTTGTTTTTTTCCCAGGAGGACACTGGACTTTCTTGTTTTCCCTCTGAAGACCTTTCGCTTCTCCTCCAAGAAGCTTCTTCAGCTCTGACTGGACGGTGGGGAATGGAAGGATTTCTACTCCTTGCAGACAGAGCTGGTCATCTGCCTTCTTTTCAAGAGTCGTGGAGGTTTATCTGTGTCCTCAAGGGTCACCTGAGTAGTGCAAAGGAACCCCTCTGTGGGGAGAGAGTGGGAGGTCCATTCCTCCACGGTCAACTTATTGGCTCCTCTTTTTGATGGACGCCGGGAATTGAAAGGATCTCATCTTTGGAAACAGCAGCCAGCGGACTCGGTTCCCTCCGTGGCCAGCGAGAGACACGGCTGACGTGGCTTCTGCTGTGCCACAGCGCCACCACTGCAGGTGGCGGAAAGCGATACTGCAGCCACTCAAAAAAGAAGCAATATTGAAGAGCTCTTCAAGAGATCCACAGCTATTTGTTACTACTAAATTTGGGGGTCAGAAGCTGTGTGTAAAGAGACAAACACACACACACACACATACACACACACACACACTTCCATTAAGGATAACACCTTTGGGACAGCCATCACCTGTTTGTTTTAAATATGTTGTGCGCCGCCCTGAGTCCCGCTGGGAGAAGGGCGGCATATAAATTAAATTAAATAAATAAATAAATAATGCACTGGCATTCAGCTCCTTTCGCTTAAATAGCTCCTGATGCAGGTTATGGGCTGAGCTGGTCAGAAGCTGGACTTTCCTGGTTTATCTCCTTTGACACCTTGGATAACGTGGTCCTTCCAACCATCCCTGGCCTGTCTCACCTTCCACGCGACGGTCACGGAATGGCTTCTAAACCCAAGGCAAGCAGGTCAGCCAGCCTTACTCCCCCCCCCCCACCTCTCCTCTCCTTACCACGCCAATCAGGTCCCCCCGGCCGTATTCGCCGGTCATGTGTTTCTTCCCATCGTCCAACTTGATGACCGAGCGGAGCCGTCCGTTCAGGACAATGTAGGTGCAGTCTGAATGATCCCCTTGCCTGGGAAAGAGAAAGGGATTAAAAGAGAGGAGGAGGAGGAGGACGGTGGCGGGAAAGAAGGCAGGCCTGGTCTTGGGAAGGGGCAAAGAAGGATTGAGCCGGGAGGAGAGGAGGCTCAGAAGAGGCCACCCAGTCCTGAGAAAAGAGGACCACCCACCCCTTCCGTCACCCCCTGGGCGATTCCCCAGCTCCTACCTGTAAACGGCGCGTCCGGCTTCGACCTCCATCCAATCCAGGGCGAAGTCAACTTGCCTCACAAAGGACGACATGCGCTTCACCACCATGTGAGCTACACCCAGGACCACCGTGGGCTGCTCGCGCATGATCCTGGGAGGACAGACCCATAAGAGAGGTTTGCCATAGGGCGATGGACCCCCAGAGGGGCCAATTCAAAGCATCTTGGCACTAAGCGGTTGAGAATATGGTTGCCTGCAAGGCCCCCGCAATGGAGCTAGTCCTCGGCTTACGACGATTTATTTAGTTCGAAGCTACAGCGGTACTAAAAAAGACCCTTACAATCAGGCCTTGTGCTTAGGACCGTCACAGCATCCCTGCAGACATGGTATCAAAATTTGGGCATTTAGCAACCGGCATGTATGTATGTATGTATGCATCTATCTTTTTATCATCCATCATCTATCCATGTATCTATCTATGGCATCTTCTATTGAACATTTACTCTCTCTCTCTCTCTCTCCTTCTCCCTCTCTCTCCTATCTATCTATCTATCTATCTATCTATCTATCTATCTATCTATCTATCTATCTATCTATCTATCTATCTATCTAACTATCTATCTATCCGTCTGTCTATATCTATCTATCTATCTATCTATCTATCTATCTATCTATCTATCTATCTATCTATCTATCTATCTATCTATCTATCTATCTATCATCTATCTCTATCCATCCATCTTCCATCATCCATTTATCAATTTATATCTTCTATTTATCATTTACTCTCTCTCATCGACCTCTCTCTCTTATCTGTCTGATTTTTATCCCACCTTAATTACTTTATTGGCAAATGTATCTTAATAATCCTTCCTCTTCCTCTTCTCTCCACAACAACCTTTGACCTGAGGTGGGCTGGGATGAGCTGAGAGGAAGGGACTAGCCCTAAGTCACCCCGCCGGCTTGCATGCCCTAAGGCAGAACTAGAACTCACCAGCTCCTGGTTTCTAGGCCAGGACCTGAACTGCTAGTAGACCAAACTGGCTCTCTTAAGACACACACACACACTCTCTCTCTCTTTCTTCTGTTAAGCAAGGATCTACCAACGTCCTAATCTGAACCTCTCAACTTCCTCCTGCTGCCTGCCTTTCTTCTCCAGGCATCCCATTGATAGTTTAATTAAAGCTGGATCCAAGAAGTCCTCCTACCCTGCCCTTAGCTAGAAGACAGGCACCCCGTATTTAGCACATCACAGCTGGGTGTCAAGTCTAAGGGTGTAATTAGCTGGCAGCTGCTCCTGACTTAATCCTATGGCAGAGGCATGCCACCAGCAAAGGCTGGGGCATCCCTGCTCAGCTGGTTCTGTTGACACCACCCTGGGCAGGAGTCTCAGGTGCCTTCTTCCCAACCCTTCTGTGAACCTTTGGGGTATGGACCAGCAAGAAAAAAAGTAAAACTTTTGCAGAAACTCAAATACTTTGGCCACCTAAGGAGAAGGAAGGACTCACTGGAGAAGGGCCTAATGCTGGGAAAGATTGAGGGCAATAGAAGGGGACGACAGAGAATGAGGTGGCTGGAGGGAGTCACTGAAGCAGGAGGCATGAACTTAAATGGACTCCATAAGATGGTAGAGGACAGGAAGGCCTGGAGGAAGGTTGTCGATGGGGTCGCGATGGGTTGGACACAACTTCACAACTAACAACAACAACAAATATTGAGAATGTTACTTGGGAAACCCCAACCTTAACCTTAATCCTAACCTAAATCCCAACCCCGACCCCACCTTATTCCTAACCCCATAAAAACTACATATATAAAAAAAGAAAGACGGGGCTCACTCATAGAAGTGGGACTTGGAGATCGCTAAGAAGGTGCAATCGCGGTTGGCCTTGATGGTGAAAATCAGGGGCTCCCCCGTAAGGACAGCGAGCTGCCCCACCAGCTCTCCCGGGTGGGTGATGAACAGGCAGGTCTCCTCCTCCGAGTCGATCTTCCGCTGATAGACGTGCAAGACCCCCGAGATCACGAACCGGATGCTGACGTCCTACGAGAGAGCGAGTCCAGCACACCAATCAAGTGAAACGTCCCTGCCATTTGGCCCAAACCTCACTCTCTCGCACACACACACACACACACACCTGCCTTTGGGTTCAACACTCACCTGGTCGCCTTGCCGGGACACCACCGTCCCCGCGGCCACCTGATGGAGCGTGACTTTCCCGTTCAAGAGAGAGAGGTCCTAAAACAAGCAAACGCCGCCGCCGAAATTATAAAAAAAAAAAGAACACTCATCTCTTTTGTTAGTGCTGCAAACTAAAATAGATATCATGATGGTGGTCAGAAGCCCCCACGTTCTCTCTCACCGGGGGGGCAGGTTGATCTGGAGGGGAGTAACTACACAGAGGTGGCCAAACTTTGAACCAGGAGGAAAAAAAAAAACAACCTCTAAGGAATTGGGTTTTAGAAACGGAGTGGCTGCAGACTTGCCACTTGGAAATGTTAATGAAGAGAAGGACAAGGGGCGACAAGGGGATCTGCAGCCCAAGAGAAGGGCGATTGCTTTAAACTTTTTTCAAAGAAAAAAGAGAATTTTAAAGCCTGCAAGGTGCCTAAGCTAGACAGCTGACCGTTTGCCAATTCCACACACACACACAGCCCCAGTGGCTAAGATCACTCACGTCCAGCTTCATCAGAGTCAGAAGATCTTTTTTGGCGGCTTCTAAGATGGTGTTGACCTGCTTGGTGGCGACGGGCACGTTGTTCTGGATGTAGTGGAAGACGGCCGAGGGCATTTCGGTCACCGTCACGGTTTTCTTCAAGATGGGCTGGGGGTAGGGTGGGGATGGGAGGGAGGGGGGGGGGAGATAGAAAAGCCCAGGGGTCACTTTTCACGCTGCAGATTAACGACAGAACTAGAGGTGGTCCTGGACTTATAAAAGCACCCTTGAGACCGGAACGCCTGTCGTAAATCATTGTGTTTGTGGAGTCCGTGCTGATTTGACGACCATGAAATGAACAGAGTCCTTAAGCAAATTCAGGTCCTTAAGGGGTCCTAAAGGTGAAGCTCTTCTTCTTGAAAGAGCCTGCAATACGGTACTCTAAGCACTGTGCCACCATGTTGTAACTTTGAACGGTTACTAAACGAACTCTTGCTAAGTCAAGGACCCCCCCCCCCCCAGCATCCTGTCTCTAAGCCTCTCACCAGCACGAACGAGGTCTCCTCCTTCTTTACTCTGAGCCCAGCCAGAAACTAGATCTGGCCTCCAGAAAATGTTAAACCTTTCTGGTCTTTGATCCCCCCCCCAACCTTCGCCAAGGAAGACGGAAATGAAACTTGCTCTAAGCGTCAATAAATCAAGGGCGGAAGGGACGAAATTAAATATTTCAGAGTCAAAAGACAGTCAGCGGCCTGCAGGGAGACAGATATTCCTTTTCTGTAAGGCCAGACGTTGCTGGGGTCACAAAGATGTATTTTTCACCGCCGGCATCAGCACACAGCCTAGCAAAATTAATTTAAAAAAAAAAACAAAAACAAAAACTGTTGGGGTTTTTAATAGGGTTACCTAACCTGACGTCTCCAAATGGGGTAAATTAAAAACATACACACACCCAATGCATAGAAGGGAGAAAAACAACTCAGCACGGAGTAAACGGCGCTGTCGAAAGACGGCAGGAAAATAATGGGGACGTTGGGGGGGGGGGGGAAAGAAGACGACTCTTGGCAAAGAGGCTCCTAGCAATGTGGCATTTGCAGAGATCAAAACCAACGAGCGATCAAATGAGCCGTTTTGACATTTTAGGTTTTGTTTTGTTTTTTTTTAAATAAAAAGCCACGTTTGGGCTAAACTCGAAGCCTGGAAGAGAATATTTATAGCTCCTGGTTGAACTGTGGGGTCCTTGGTGCTCTCTGAGCTGGGTGGTTTTCTTGCAGACGTTTCGTGACCCAGCTAGGAAACATCATCAGTGCTAAGGAGTGGAGTGGAGGGAGGAGAAAGTCCAGGTGCTCTCTAGAGTTTGATTGTTTCCTTGAAGACCTTTCATTAACCCAACTAGGGAACGTCATCAGTGCTGGAAGGCAGTGGGGTTTGTGGAGAGGAGGAGGAGGAGGAGGAGGAGGAGGAGGAGGAGGAGGTGGTGATTGGTGATTTTCTAGCAGACATTTCATCAGATTAGATTAGATAACCTTTATTGTCCTTTTTTCCTGTGGGCACAATGGCACACAGTAAAAATGAAATTTAGTCACTTCATGACCCAGCTAGGTAACGTCATCCGTGCTAAAAGGATTTGCAGAGTGGAAGAGGAGGAGGAGGAGGAGGAAGAGGATGGCCCTGGTGTCCTTGCTGGTCTCTGAGCTTTGGCTGTTTTCTTGCAGACATCTCATAACCCAACTAGGTAGCATCATCAGTGCAAGGCCCCCGAAGTGGCGCCCTGAGCTATGAATATTCCCTTCTGTTGGTAGTTTAACTCGGAAGGAAGCAAGGAGGTACCTTGTACGCAGTTGTGTCGGAGGCAGAGGTGTCAATCTCAATCCGGGCTCTGTCGCAGGCCACGTCCAAGTCTGATTTAGCTCCAGCTGAGCTACCTACAGATAAAGGACGGAGGAGGAGCTACGTCAGACTCCGCCCCATCAGCCACCTGCAGCCTTTCCATCCACCCTCTTAAAAATATATATATATATTTAGCAAGTGACCCAGAAGAGCACGTACAGGCAGTCTTCAATTTACGACCATTTGTGACCCCTTTTGTGACCTTCTGATAAGCAAAGTTTATGATTCACTTAACCAGGTTACTAACTTAACAACGGCAGTGACTTCACTTGACAACTGTGGCAAGACGGGTCGTAAAAATGGAGCAAAACTCCCTTAACCAATGTCTCGCTTAGCGACAGAAATGTTTGGACTCAGCTGTGGTCGTCAAGACGAGGACTAGCTGTACGGCTCCAGGTAATTTCCAGATCTCTCTGGCTCACCTGTCGCCTCGGTATATCCGGTGGGGATGGTCAAAGACAAGCTTCTTCGGAGCGGGGGCTCGGAGCCGGGAAGTTTCCCAGAATCGCCTGTGGCCTCCAAGGCTGCGTATTTCTCCAGCCTCTCGGCCCGTTCCTCTTCGGACAGGTTGGACAGCTGCCTTTTGACCACCCGGCTGGGGTTGCCCCCAGAGGTGACGCTGGCAACCGAGACCAGGGGGATGGCCTGGCTCTCCTGGGAGGGCGGAAGAGGCAAAGGTGGGCCAGGGAGCCCTGGGGCTGGGTGGGTAGCCACAGGGAGGCCAAAGCTGCACCCCGCTTCTCCAGCTCCCCACAACTAACAAAAGCTTCTAATCTAACCATGCCGTGGTGGGGTCATAAGAGCAGACATGACCCAGCAAACATTAAGACAAGAAGCAGGCTTTCTTTCTTTCTTTCTTTCTCTTTCTTTCTTTCTTTTTCTTTCTTTCTTTCTCTTTCTTTCTTTCTCTTCCTTCCTTCCTTCCTTCCCATCTACATCTAGTATTATCTATCCATCTTATCTATCTATCCACTCAATGTATCTATCCATTCATAGTCCAACCATCATGTCTGTCTGTCTATCTTTATATCTGCCTCTCTTCATCATCTATCTATCTATCTATCTATCTATCTATCTATCTATCTATCTATCTATCTATCTATCTATCTATCTATATCTCTAATCTCTATCTATATCTCTATCTACAGTATATCTATCTATCTATCTATCTATCTATCTATCTATCTATCTATCTATCTATCTATCTATCTATCTATCTATCTATCTATCTATCTATCTATCTATCTATCTACCTACCTACCTACCTATCTACCTACCTACCTACCTATCTATCATTAAAACTACCTGTATGTGGAAGGCCTTTTAGAGGCCACCAAACCGGGGCCATCCATTTCCACAGTCATTTTAGACAAGCATCCCCTTGGGCAGAGGGGGTTGGACTGGAAGACCTCTGAGGTCTCTTCGACCGGCACGTTCCCAACATTGACCAGCGTCCACCACCACCAGGTTTCACTTACAGAGCTGAAGAGTTCGGTGGTCAGTCCCAGGTAGTTGTGTAAAGCTAGGAAAGTGACCCTCTGCAGCCTCACCATGATGATCTGGGGAGTGAAAGCAGAAATGATTGGGGGAGCTGATATAATTTAGAACTGTACTAGCTTGAATACGAGACAGTAAACGTTAAGGGGAAAAGAGAAGAAACATCTGAGGTCGTAACCTGAGGTTCGCACTAAAGATTTGGTTATTGAGCTATTGATTAACCCAGTCACCACGTTGCTTTTTAAATACTCAAATGGAAAATTGGAAAAATTAATAAAATATTATTAAAAAAACAACCCACCGTATTACCAATTTAAGAACCGCAAGTGATTCGCTTAACAAAACGTGGCGAAGGAAGTCGTAAAAATGGAGCAAAACTCAACTTAGCAAATTTCTCACCTAGCCAACGTACATTTTGGGCTCAACTGTGGCCGTAAGTTGAAGATCACCTGTAGTCCACCTTCCGGCTTCCCAATAGCTTAGCTACTCTGATGCCATCAAGGTAGATGACACCTCTTCCCCCCCTTATGCTCCAATGAATTAGGGGGGTGATCTGCCCCCGATGTTACCTCCTCGCTCTGGACTTTAAGCCTGTTTCATCCCCTTTGGGTTCTAGCCTCTTTTCATCAAAGTCACCTTCCTTCCCTTTCTACAGGTCCCACGGAATCAGAGACACCCCACAGGCACAGAAGGGGGTTGGACTAGATGACCTCCAAGGTCCCTTCCAACTTTATTATTATTATTATTATTATTATTATTATTATTATTATTATTATTATTATTATTATTATTATTATTATTATTATTATTATTATTATTATTATTATTATTATTATTAAGAGCCTGACCGTGAAACTTTCCATAAAAGGGGTTTATTTCAAATTATTGATCAAATAAACCTTTTTTTTTAGGTTTACTTAAGTGGGCCTCTTCTCCCCACTTTTGTTTCTGGTCTGTCTTGATGACCTAGCCATCACATTTCAATTAAAACTAAGAAGTCTCTTCTATAAATTTATGAAAACGAAGAAACCTGGGGTCCAAACTCGCTCCAGAGGGGAATAAGGCCAGCCTCACCTGCACGACTCTGACCAGAGTCTCGGGGTATTTCTGGAAGACGTCCTGAAACGCGTTGGCTGGGAGACGCAGAATAGTTGACTGTGTTGCCGCTCGGGCAGAAACGGTCTTGTAAGGAGCAGGATGGCCCTAGGAGGGAAGAGAAAGCCGACATGTTTTCAGACTTACTTACAACCATTTCGTTTCTCATCCGTGAAGCTTCCTCGTTGCGGCAATCGCAGCCGAGGGGAAAACAACAACAACAACAATTTTTTCTTTTTAATTACATTTTAAATTTTTATATTGTATTGATTGTCTTGTTTTTTAACTGGCTGTAAGCCGCCCTGAGTCCACTAGGAGAAGGGCGGGGTATAAATGTAATAAATACATAAATAAATAAATAAAAACTTTTTCCAGTCGCCTTTGGAAAAAGCACTTTTGAGACAACTAGGTCGTGGATGAGTGAGGATCTCCACCCACACATTTGTTTGGGGACTGTTTGAAGTTGCAGTGGCGCTCTACTTATAACTGGTCCTCACACTTATGACATCCCTTGGCAACTGGCAAGAGTTTAAGGATGAAAAACTGTCGTTAAGTCACTTTTTTCCAAGGCCGTTGTGACTTTGAACTTTGCCAAGGCAAAGTCAGGAACCAAATAAGCCAGCTCTCTGATTGGACTCTTCCACATCCATCCTTCCGGGAAGCCCTGCCCGCTTATTCAAAATCAAAAGAAAGGGATAGAGGACCACTTGGAAAGCCAAGAAGGATCCAAGTGGGTCGCGGCGCTCACCGTGATGACGTCCAAAATGCTGAGAAGGCTGTGCACGCTGTCTCCAGCCAGGACTTCTTTCACCACCATCTCTGTGCCATCCTGGGAAAAGTTGAACGAAGAAAGATGCATGCTTAAAGCCTGTGGCAAAGACCATGTTGGTTCCACAAACCAGGTTTATAAAGGACAAGGGCCGGGTTCTATCAGCCTTCTAGACTGATAGAAGGGTCTCTGTGATCTTCATCCAAATAGTCTTCTTTCCAAGGTGCTTGAAGAAGGATCCTCAAGTGGACCTTGTCCTGACCTGACCTGTAGCCTCTTCTGAGGCTTGGGATGACAAACATTTGTCTGTGGGGTCCTGGGTGCTCTCTGAGCTTGGTTATTTTCATGCACAGACATTTCATGACCCAACTAGGAAACATCTTCAGTGCTAGCGAGTGTGACTTGTTCCCTGTTTATATAAAGTAGCTCTGAGGTGGGTTATTTTCTTGCAGACGTTTCGTGACCCAGCTAGGTAATATCATCAGTGTTGCTGGTGGGATGATGTTCCCTAGTTGGGTCATGTAAGGTCTGCAAGGAAACAGCCAGGTTCAGAGAGCGTCAAGGACCCCACAGTCCTCCTCCTCCTCTGCTTTTCTGCCCCCCTCTTTCTCTTCATCTCCACACACCACACTCCCTTCTAGCAGTGAGGATGTACACTAGTTGGGTAATGAAACGTCTGCAAGGTAACACCCAGGTTCAGAGAGCACCAAGGACCGCACGGCCTTCCTCCTCCTCCTTCTCCTCCTCTTCCTCCTTCTCCTCCTCCTCCTCCTCCTCTCCAGACACCCCACTCCCCTGTAGCACTGAACATGTGGGTTGTTTTCTCGCGGACGTTTCCTGACCCAGCTAGGTAATATCATCAGTGTTGCTGGTGGGATGACGGTCCCTAGTTTGGTAACGAAACATCCGCAAGAAAACAGCCGAGCTCAGAGAGCTCCAAGGGCCCCCTCATTTGAACCCTGAAAGATTCCCTTCCGCCCTTCCTATCGCCCGACGGAACGATCCCTTACGCTGTCTTGAATGCAGACTTCCAGCTTCCCGTCCTGCACGACATAAATGCTGTTGTCCAGCTGTCCGGGCCGGAAGATGTATTCCCCTTCGTGCAGCTGGACGAAGACCATGTGCTTGCAGAGCTCCAGGAAAAGGGGCTTCTCGAAGTGGCCAAGGACCCTGGGGGGAACGGAGGAAAGGCGGGAGGGGGAGGGGAAGGGTTGGCTAAAACAGGCCGGGAGGGGGGTCCCGAGAGCCCAACGCAGGAGGCTGAGCCGTGCCTCCGATCCCACCTTAGCCGAGGGAAACCAGGCGGGCGAGCCTACCTGACGTTCTTCAGCATGTAAAGGACTTCGGAAGGCAGGTGGGAGCTGTTGACGTCGAACTCCGTCAGGTCGGCCTCCAGCAAGGAGGGCGGGGGGTCCTTGGGCTGCAGGGTGGGGGACTCCTTCTTGTAGCGCAGAATCCTGCGAGGAAGGCCAAAAAGGACCGTCACCGCTCCTTCGTCGGCTCTGCGAGGAATCCAACTATCCTTCTATCCCAGCGGTTCTCAACCTATGGGTCGCGACCCCATTTGGGGTCGATCGACCATTTCACGGGGGTCGCCAAGCAAGGCTGTCCGCCATTTTCCCCCCTTTTCCGGTGGGTGCCTTACCTCCCTTGAGCTGGGCCAGCTGGTGGTCGGCCTGCTCCGTCTCTGCCGCTTGCCAGCTACGCCTCGGCCGGCGCAGGGGGCGGAACCACGCATGCGTGGCGCTCCCGGGCAGGGAAAGTCCTTGACTTACGACCGGTTGGGTAGTCCTCAACTTACGACCGGTTTAGTCCTCGACTTACGACCGGTTTAGTCCTCGACTTACAACCGGTTTAGTCCTCGACTTACGACCAGTTGGGGGTCACGGCATTAAAAAGGTTGAGAACCACTGTTCTATCCCTTCTCCAGCCTGGCTTGGTTTGCCACTTCCTTGCAACCCCCCCGTCTTGACCCTGGACCCACTGGCCTAGATCGCGTCCACTCTAGGCCTCCTCCCTTCTGCCTCTCCGCTGCTCCTGGCGTGGCGAATTTGGGGAGAGGGCTATCTCTTCGGTTTCCAATCCGTGGCTCCTCGACTCATAACAGTTCATTTAGTGACTGTTTAAAGTTACAACGGCACCGGGGGAACAAAAAGGGACCGATGATGGCCGTTTTTCACACGAATTTGGGAGCTTGGCAACTGGTTCCTATTTATGACAGCTGCAGTATCCCCAGGGCCAGGTGGTTCTCCTTTTGCGACCTTCGGAACGGGAAGGCAGAGGCCCTTCGCAGCTGTGTGACTAACTTCACAGCTGCAATGATTGACTTCACCACTGTGGCTAGGAAGGTCGTAAAATGGGGGCGAAGCTCACTTAACCACATAAACTTTGGGGTTTAGTCCAGTATTATGGAAGAATAGAGTCCAGATTTCCTGGAGACAGCGGAGAGGGAAGCTTTCCAGAAAAGCCAGATGTTTTGAACTAGAAAACCTCCCAGCTCCCTTCCCACTCTCTAACTCTGTAGTTTACCGAGGAAATCATGTACGGTTGATCCAAAAAACGCCCAAATTGTCCTGCGACCCTTACCTCTTTGCCAAGGACAACACCTTGGCCCTTTTCCGCATCCGCTGACGAGGCACTGTGTTGCCGACTAGAGAGTTTGGCAGAGTTGTCACCTGGAAGGAAAATCCCTCAGCTTTGATCAGGAAGAAAAAGCATTTTGGGGAAAAAAATGCAGCAGGCCCTGGGTTCACCAAGTGGCAACCGGGCAACCGAACCCAAGGAACACAATGCCCCGGCTGCGCTAATAAAGATGCCACACAACTGCAGGCAACAAAGCGTTAGGTTAAAAAGCTGAAATCCCAAAGGCTGGTGGTTTTTGAGAAGCGTGGCTGTAATTCGCAAATGCCTTACTGAGCTTTCAGATTTGACTGCCAAGGGAGCAGATCGCGAGCTACGATTCAAGTAATTCTCAAATATATAAACTAAACCCCAAAGAAAGGTTGACCTCGTAAGGTTTTGACTACTATTTGTTGAACACATCTTCGTGGACTTTATGCTACATCAGCTCTGTCACAAACAGCATCGCTCACTGCACAGGCAAGCCCAGAAGAGGGTATAAAATGACAGGAAAACTCCACTCCCTATTTGCACTGATGATGTTACCTAGTTTGACAAGGAGATGTCTGCAAGGGAACAACCAAGCTGAAGAGGACACCAGGAACCCCAATTCCTTCTCCTCCTCCTCACACCCCCCACTCCCTTCTAGCACTGATGATGTTACCTGGTTTGGCAATGAAACGTCTGCGAGGAAACAGCTAAGCTCAAAGACCCACAATTTAAGTCTGAACTGCAAATCCTCTCTTCGACCTGAAGCCCAGGAGGGTTTAGACTAGAGCAAGCGTGGGTTCGATCCCTGGTCGGACCCTTACCTTCCGCATGATCTTACGGCCGTAGAACATCACTTTGTCCCTCTTGCGAAACCTGTACTGGGGCACGTGTGCCTGAGGCTGCTCTGAAAAGCAAAAGAAGATCCATCACCTTGATGCCCGCTTTCCTGAAGCCGACAAACAGCCTAATCTGAAGCGATGTCAAAGATACAGAAAGAAAAGCTCCTTTGGGTCGATTGGATTTGTTTGCATCCTGCAAGGACAACTCAAGGCAGCGAGCAGATACTACACACCGTCCTCCTCCTATTTTCCCCACAACAACCCTGTGAGGTGGGCTGGGCAGAGAGAGGCCCAAGTTCACCCAGCCGGCTTTCATGCCTAAGGCAGGACTAGAACTCACCAGTCTCCTGGTGATTGGCCCAAACTCACCCAGCTGGCTTTCATGCCTAAGGCGAAACTAGAACTCGCCATCACCTGCTGATTGGCCCAAAGTCACCCAGCCAGCTTTCATGCCTAAGGCAGGACTAGAACTCACCATCTCCTGGTGATTGGCCCAAAGTCACCCAGCTGGCTTTCATGCCTTAGATGGGACTAGAACTCACCAGTCTCCTGGTGATTGGCCCAAAGTCACCCAACCGGCTTTCATGGCTAAGGCAGGACTAGAATTCATGGTCTCCTACTTTCTACCCTGGTGTCTTAACCACGATTCTTGGTGACCCATTTATCATGCGTTATTACGAGCCTTTTATTATTTGCAAGAGGCGGAGAAATTTGCTTTAACCATCCCGTTTAACCCTCCCAACTGCTCCACCGTGCAGAAAGGATCACCTTCCGTCCGCCTACGTTACCCAGACGTGGCGGGTTCGCGCTAAGCGATCAAACTTACTTGATTCCTTCACCTTCTTGTAAACAAAATACACAACGATCCCAATCAGCGCCAAGGCCACCGCAGCTCCAATGGCTATCCCAGTTAACTGCGGACAGAAGGGAGACAGAAAAAGTTCACCTTCAAGCAAACATAAATATGGAAGTCTTTGGCAACTCTCCGAGCTTGGTTGTTTTCTCCCGGACGTTTCATGACCCAACTAGCTCACATCATCAGTGCTGGAAGAGAGTGGGGTTTGCTCTACTTATATATGACCGAGTTGAGTCATGAAATGTCTGGGAGAACACAACGAAGCTTGGACAGCACCAAGGACCCCAGTCATCCTCCTCCTTTCTTCCCCTCCCGTCTCCATACTCCACTCCCTTCTAGCACTGATAATATTACCTAGTTGGGTCATGAAACGTCTGCAAGAAAAACAACCAAGCTCAGAGAGCACCAAGGACCCCACAATTCAACCTGAGCTACCAATATTCTATCAAACCAAAATATGCCCAAATACTATCTGTATTTGGCTAGTTTAATAATCTCCTGATCTGGAGCAACCGAAAATTAATGCTGTAAACCTGAACAGGAAAAAACTGAGGATCTTGATCGCTTCCAATCAGAAAAAAAAATTCTTATAAATTCATCATCACCCTAGGTGCCCAGCTTAGAACAGACTTTCTTCTCTCTTCTTATGCGGTTTTGGAGGCCACAATATTCTATTTACATATATTGAGTCAATAGCTTCCAATTGAAGTCTTCACTATGACTAATAACGCTTTACATTCATGCATTCATACATTCACTCGTTTATATGGGATCTTATGGTCTCCTGGAAGCCACAATATTCTCTTTACAGACAGGGCCCAAGTCTTGGTGACTCCCAATTTTGGTTGACTGCCCGAGACTAACCAGAATGAGCAGATTCCTGTGCCGAATTAATAAACTGCAATTTTCAGGTCTGATTAGGACATGACTAATCAAATAACAGCATCATTTTAACATTTATTACAGCCACAATCTTCTAATTTTGGTTAGAAAAGAATGAGGACAAGGGAATGGGGCGCGATATAAAAGCAGCCGTGTTCCTGCTTGGAAGAGGTACCGTATGTAAAAGAGTTACCATGGTTGTCTGAATCCTGTCTTCTACAAATTGGAGAACTCGCGTTCGTAGGTCGGAACTTGTTAAGAGGCTGACCTGAGGGATAAAAACACCAAAGGTATAATATACAGTATATATTGGAGAGAACCTAAATTTTCTTCCCAGAGATTTAGAGAAGACTTAGCACTTTTGAAAACTGACTTAAACTCAGAAATGAGAACAAATTGTTCTCATAAAGTGCATTCCTGAGAACCATTTTCCAACCTGTGATTTTAATATCCGGTTCAAACTCTCCGCCAATGGTTTCCTCTTTACACCAAAATAAGAAAAAAAAGAAAAAATCCTAAACCTCCTAAAGAGCTGTTTCTCTTTATAAATCATCAGGTTCCCCCCCACCACATACACACAAGTGGACCATTTCAAATAAATTGTACCTGTGTTACGAAGGATCTGTACCAAGAGGCAGGAGAGGAATCACTTTAAACACACAGCTTGACATCCTGAAAAAATTCTGCTCCTTTGTTTTGAAAGGCCCAAAACCAATTTCAGAACCACCCAAGGGTTTGGCAGCACTTAGTAAGACAAATACACACCCTTAACTGTCAAGGGTTGTGTAGTACTAAGAGCTGACTGGACAAGCACTGCCACTGAATAGCGCAGAACAAAAGAAAAAAAAAACCACAAGGTAATTAAGGTTCTGTTTTTAAGTGGTTAAACAATGGCCAAATCGGTCAAGTAAAGCTTTTATCTTTATTTCTGTTTACAAACCAGGAGCATTATTCTCTCCAAAGAAAAACTCGGAAATCACACACCGACACATATTTAGGTTTGCTGATTTGTAGGTTTATTGTCGCACACAATCACGGTGCTGAGGCATGATTCATTCTAAACTTGATTCATTCATGGTTGACCAAGAATTTTACAATTCAGAAAAGGGCACTGCCCAGAAAGAGATTCCTGTCTAATCAAACAATCAGAAGACAGATAACAGGAGAAAATAAAATACAGGTAGACCTCAGCTTACAACAGTTGACCCCAAAGTTTCTGTTGTTAAATGAGATATCTGTTAAGTGAGTTTTGCCTCATTTCACGACCTTTCTCACCAAGGCTGTAACTGAACAGTCACTAAACGAGGATTGTAAGTCGAGGATTATCTGTACTTTAGGCAAACAGTTGTGTCAACTAGGCAAGTTGTAGAATCTGTTTAGCCAGGCTAAACAGAATCAGGGTAAAAACAGGGGAGAGGGATACAATAACAGCAATTAAATTCTATTTAGGCTTATTTGTCGGGCGCTTATAGAAGTTAGCAGGCACGCCAAAGAATTCACAGGGAAAGTGGGCTTTGAATTAATCCAAATAAAGCAAAAAGGAAACAAGTGACCCTGGAAGTTCAGCCAGGGATAAAGAATAGCAAGGAAGTATCCATCATAGAAAATTGTAACGAAAAATGCCTTTTTTTCCAGTATACATGTTAGCATTTTGGCAAACAAGCTAGCAAGAACGCTTAGACACAACCGTTAGACAATAATCAGTCCAATAAATAGACACAATCATTAGTACACAGCCTTGCAGAAGGAGGGGTGTTCCTCCTCCCATTTTTATTTATAGTCCCACGCTCACCGCAACACAACTTCAACACTTAAAAGAACGTACCGCTAAAAAAAGACCAATGCAAATGTTAAAATACACGCAGAAAGAAACCCAAACACTGTTTGCTGGAACCAGGATTGAATGATTTAACACCGACTGCCCCCTTGCTCATTATGTCTGGCATAACCAACAAGACTTAAATTGACTGGACACCCCTCCAGCTGGGAAGCTTAGGTGTTGTAGTCCCATTGTTTTTTCCATTGTTATTTACAGTTTTGGACCATTAGAACACAACTCCAGAACTTAAAAAGAACCGGTCACTATTAAAAGACCAATACTAACATTAAAATACAGGTGGGAAAAAACTCCCAAATCTGAAATAATTCATAATCAGGGGGAGATGACCAGGATGGGAACTCTTGCGTTGAACCACGTTTGCTGGAACTGGGATTGATTAACCCCAATTGTCCCCTTGCCCCCCACGTCCAGCAAGACTGAAATTACAGAAGAACAGGGCTGGAAGGGATCCTGGAGGTCTTCTAGTCCATCCCCCCCCCCCCCCCGTGCTCAAGAAGGACACTCTATCTATCCCATTCTGGGCAAATTCACTCGTCCACCCCAACCCAGGGCTGGGAACGCTGGGAGTTGTATGTAGTCCCAGCCCTCTGGCAGAGCTCCCCCTCCCCAAACAAGCTTCCCTGGCTGGGAGGAATCCACTGCACCCACTCTACACCCAGCTGGGGATGCTGGGAGTTGTGGTCCCATTGTTATTTTCACATTTTGTGTACGGTCCCAAACCGTTCCCACACAACTTCCAAACTTAAAGAGAGCAAGCCACGACGGTAGGAAAAAAGACCAATAAAAGTGAAGGCAAAGATAAAACTCCCAAATCTGAAATAATTCATAATCAGAGGAAGATATAACTAGGTTTGGGGGGGGGGTCAGTCCGTGAAGGGGGACTCTGGCATTAAACCATGTTTAGCTGGAACCGGGATTGATTTAACCCCAATTCTCCCCTTTGCAAGCATCCTATCCAACAAGACTTGAGATGACAGAAGGACAGAGCGGGATGGGACCCTGGAGGTCTTCTAGTCCAACCCTCCCTCCCCCACCCCCCTCAAGGAGGACACCCTATCCCATGCTGGCTAAATTCACTCCTACCAAGGCTGGGGACGCTGGGTGTTGTAGTCCCAGCCCTTGGGCAGAGCTCCCCCCCTCCCCTCACAAGCCTTCCCTGCTGAGGGGAATCCACAGCACCCCCTCTACCCCCGGCTGGGGACGCTGGGTGTTGTAGTCCCAGCCCTTGGGCAGAGCTCCCCCAAACAAGCCTTCCCGCCTGAGAGGAATCCACAGAACCCCCTCTCCCCCCGGCTGGGGATGCTGGGACCTGTAGTCCTGGCTGTGAGAGGGGACCTACCTGGCTGTCGGAGGGCGGCGGGGCCTCCTCGTCCTCCATGGCCGGGACGGAGGGAGGGAGGGGAAGGGGCGCTACTAACGGCTGCCCCGCGGAGGGCGCCGCCGGAGGTCGGGGGTCACTCTGAGGGAGGGGGGCGGGCGGGCAGGGCTGTGACTTCCGCCCCTTTGCGTCACTTCCGCCCGTCAGGGGCTGCCCTGGGGCGCCGTCTTCTGCCAGGTGGGGCCCTCCCATCCTCCCCGGCCAGGATGGGAGTGGTAGTCCAAGCCCGGAGGGGCAGGAGCAGCTGCTGGAGACGGAAGATAACAAGCGTAGTAATAATAACACAGGGAGGAGAAGCAGAAGAATCTTCCTCAGTTTCGGGTGGCAGCTGCGTTTCCTCCGCCTGCAGGCGGGGAGGCGACTCCCAGAATCCCCCAGCCCGTCTAGACACACACACTAGACACACACACACACACACAACCCCCCCAAAAATCTGGAAGTTTCTCAAAATGGTCGACCTCGCAGGGCTGTTGTGCTGTTCCTGCCAAAGTGGCCTATGTTTGAGTACATCACCCCTACCCAGCAACTGGCTGGTTGTTGAAGTCCTTCTGGACGGTAGCTGAGGACTATAAAGGGGCCATGCAAATAATAAAGGCGGAATATAATGAATCATAATAAAAGGCGGGAAATGAATTAACAATAAAGAAAAATGTCTCTCGCTTCCGCATCGCTCTTCACTTTTTCGTAGCTCTATGCAACACAGGTTTCTCTCTCTCTCTCTCTCTCTCTCTCTCTTTCTCACGAAAAGCCAATCAGGAGACGCCCCTCCCGGCCCAAACTCGGCCTCTTGGAGCCGATTGGTTAAAACCCCGCCCTATCCAAACAGGACCTGAGTACGGGGCAGGCGGATTGGCGGAGTAGTTCCCACCATCCAATCACAAGCGGCGATGTTGCGGTGGCGGCGTCAACAGCGTCCGCCGCCACCGCCGTTCGCCGCCATGGGGCTGCTGGGCGAGGTGACGCGGGGCCTGGTCCGCGGCGCCGACCGCATGTCGGCCTGGACGAGCAAGCGGGGCCCGCGGACCTTCTTCAAGAGCCGCGGCTGCAAAGTCTTGGGCAACATCACCCCGAGCCGGAAGTTCGTGCTGGTGAAGGACCGGGTGCCGGTGCTGATGGTGCCGGACCTGACCGGCTTCAAGCTGAAGCCCTACGTCTCCTACCGGGCGCCCGCGGGCAGCGAGCCGCCCCTGAGCGCCCGCGCGCTCTTCCAGCAGACGGCCGCGCCGCTGATCGAGAAGGACGTCCAGCGGGCCTCCTTCGACCCCGACGCCCTGGAGAAGTACGGCTTCGAGCCCAGCCAGGAAGGGAAGCTCTTCCGCCTTTTCCCCAAGAACTTCGTGCGCTAGCGGAAGGAAGGAAGGAGAGAGAGAGACACACACACACACCAATTGGAGAAAAATCATCCCCCCAGGATTGCAACTTCCTTGCAGCCTTTCAAATGCTGGATCGAAAGAGGAAAGAAAAAAAGACAATTCCTTAAAAGAAGAGGGAGGAGGCACAATTTAAGACAAAATTCCCCCAAAGAAGATGGAAAAGTGCGCAATTTCTTTGAACAAAGAGGGATAAAAAAGACACCCTCTCTCCCAAATGGCGACTTTTGGAACAGATCATTGGGGGTGGGGTAGGGGTAGAATAAAGAGCATGCAGATGTTGTATCTCCCTGTCTGGGAAATGTTATGTTTCTGCTTTGAAACCGTGTCTGGAAAAGCCTTCAATATATACATGTTTCTCTATGGAGTTGTTGGTGGTCTCTGTTGGAAAAAAAAAACTGGGAAGGGAGGGGAAATGTGGGTTCCTAAAAAGGGGTTTGTGCTGTGGAGTTTTAAAGGGCTTGGATGCTGAATTTGGTGGTGGGGGGCTCCTGTTTTTCCTTGGTATTTGTGCCATTCTTAGATTTCTATGAAAAATGAAGTGATTCCCACCAAAATAGCTTAAATAAAAAGGACTGTGGATCTTACAAGACAACATTTTATTGTAAAAAAGATCAAAAATATATTTCAGTTGAAAGGTGCTCTTTGCAATGCCAATGAGCGTGTTTGTATGAAAATGTCATTGTATCATAAACATGCCCTTTGACAAGGGCAGTCTATAGCACAACAAAACTTGTGCTTGGACTTCCAAGAAAGCATTTTTGTTATTATCATTGGTTGCCATTTTTAATTTCAACGCTTTCCCAAGCTTGAATAGGACTTCAGTTTCCCTATTCATTTGGAATAAACCTCGAGCTAAATGGCACTCCCACGTTGAAGCTGGTGTTTGAGAATGTTGCAACAATCAAGTCTTAGGGGGAAAGTGGAATTAACAGGATATTAGGGAACCCAAACAATCTTATTTCTGCAGCACAAAAAAAAAAGCTGTTGGAAAGAACCAAGCAAGCAACAAGAGCCTTCAAAACTCACAGCTACCAGCAGTGATATAAAAACATCATACCCATAGAAGAGAATATTGGTAGCTCAAGATTGAACTGTGGGTCCTTGGTGCTCGCTGCGCTTGATGGGTTTTTTTGCAGATGTTTCATTAGCAAACTAGATAACTGAGGAACCAAATGAGCTTCCTGTTTATATTCAGTGGCTTGCCTTGCACCCGGCATCCAATATCCAAATAAGCACCAGATAGACAATCAAGGAGAAAACAATACCCTACTCAAGAACTTCCAAGGAGAAAACCACAACTCCACTAAGACTGAAAGGAGTATATAAACGGAGCAAACACCACACTCACTAGCACTGATGATGTTACCTAGTTCAGTCACGAAACGTCTGCAAGGAGACAACCCAGCTCAGAGTACCCAGAACCCTACTCCATGCTGCAGACTGCACTCGCTTCTATCTCTGATAATGTTACCTAGTTTGGTAATGAAACGTCTGCAAGAAAACAACAAAGTTCAGAGAACCCCAAGGACCCCACAGTTCAACCCTGAGCTATAAATATTCTCTTCTATCCAAAGTCATCCCTTCAATGTGTTGCTCCCCCTGCTGGTAGAAGGGTGGGGGGGAAAGGGCAAAATATATCGCAGCCACCATCCACACACACAAAAGAGTGGGTTTAGGCCAGAGGGGAATTCTGGCTGACCTCCCACTTCCAGACATGTAGAACGTTGTCATAAAAGGAGCACGTTGCTAAGAGGTTGGTTTCCTTTTGGGCTTTGGCTGCTTCAACGTCCCCGTTCGCTTTGGCATCTGGAGCTTTTCCGTCGCCGGAAGACCCCTGCAGGTCCGCAAGACCCTCTGCTGGGGATGGAGAGGCGGGAGGGTGGTCCTCCTCCTCCTCTAGCAGTACGTCAAAGGTGGCCGTGGGGGATTCGTAAATGATCTTGAGATTCTGCACTTTCAGGTCTCCTCTGCTGGCTCCTTGGTCCACCTGAACTGCCGGCACCGTTGCAGACATCTCCAAAGAATTGCTCGGGATAAATCGGGACCAATCGGCGCCATAAGCCAAGGAATTGTGCAAGGTGTAAGACGAAAGGATGGTGCATTTCTCTTGGTTCTCTTCTAATAGACGGAGAAAAGAGCAGGGCTGTTGCACCTGGACATAGCGATATTCCTTACTGGGGTTAGGGGCTATTATTTTTTAGGTTTTTGGTATTCTGCCTTTATTATTTTTTAACAAATAGTTCCAAGGCCGTGAACACAGCTTCCTCCTATTTTCCCCACAACAGCCCAGTGAGGTAGGTTAGGCTAAGAAAGACTGGCCTCAAGTCATCCGGCTGGCTTTGCATGGCTAAAGTGGGACTAGAACTCGCCATCTCCTGTTGATTGGCCCAAAGTCACCCAGCTGACTTTCACGGCTAGGGCAGGACTTGGACTCACGGTCTCTTGCTGATTGGCCCAAAGTCACCCAGCTGACTTTCACGGCTAGGGCAGGACTTGAACTCACGGTCTCCTACTTTCTGGGCTAGTGCCTTAATCACTACACCAAATTGGCTTTCTATTTTATCTACAGTTTATTGTCTGGTTTAGCACCAATTCTTCCCCAGATTGGTGACGTGAGAACTGAACCATCGTGGTCTATAAACCATGGCTTAGGGCTGAGCCTCAATCAAGCCGGTCTTTTCATTCAACAGACATTGGTTAACAGAGTCTGTCATAGCAACAGATGGGCTGCCTATCAGTTCTATAAAGAAGTAAATAATTAAAAATGGCTGAGAATGTTAGGGAAACCCAGCCACTGTCTTACTTTTAGTACCCCAAAACTCCCAGAATCCATCACCACGGTCATGCTGGCTGGAGAAATCGACCGGTCGAAATCCCATCTGTTTGGAAATGACTCTAGCTGCAATTAGCAGCGATGTAGTTGGCTTCCTCCGATCAAAACACTCACCTAAACCACTCCGACAATTGAGGATTACAAAGCCGTTGTGCATGCAGGCGGCCAGCAGCCAGTGGGCCTGGGAGGGGTGCCACTTTAAGCGCCAGACGCCACCGTGAACATGGGTGTCGGCCAGGGGCTGCTTCATCTTCCTGGTGTCCCACAGGAGCACGTGTTCATCGTAGCTGCAGAAACACAATTTGGAAATCTGTCTCCTCCTTTCTCAAGGCCACAGAGCCTTCGTAGGTCCACGGCTGACCTTGGGGGACGCTGCGACGGTCGTGTGAAAAATGGTCGTAAGTCTCTTCTGTCAGTAACTTTCAACGGTCACTAAATGAACTGTCGTAAGTCAAGGACTCCCTGTACAATCGTATGAAATTTGTATGGGGTCTTAAAAGTGTCCTAGTAGATTTCAGAGACTCACCTTCCCGTAGCGAGCAGATTTTCCCGCAGCGGGTGACTCTGAATACTGCAGACCCCCATAGAGTGCCTGAAATGAAACCCACATCAAAAGAAGGCTGTTCTCTCTCTCTCTCACACACACACACTCACACAAACACCACTTTCCTGGCACAAGACAGGAGTCGTGGATTCTTCTCAGAGATTCTACTACTTACCGCTCACTGGTGAACAGAGGGACTCTTGAGCTGCTCCGAGTATCCCAGCCGTGTAGTTTGCAATCATCTCCACCTAGATCCAAGGAAGAGAAGACCAAGAAAATGCGTTGCTAACACGTTTCCGTTGTCTCTAGGAAGACAAAAGCTGGATATTATTTATTTCTAAACAGCAGGACATAATTAGCAGCTGCAGATTTTGCTGCTAGCCTGTAGGAAGTTTTTCCTGTATGCAACATAAATTTATGTTAATCAAATTCCTTGACGCTCGTTGGATTCACACGTTGCCACAGGAGTCGGTAAATAGTGGTCCACATTCAACCTGTTTTATGGCCCTCCAGAGACTCTAACAATCACAACCTGATCAAACACCCACCTGAGTACACAACATGTGTGTTCCAGCGGTCAAAGGCAGCGATCCAAGCTTCAAAGTCATGTCCCTTCCACTGGTCCAAGACGTGCAGCGAGGAACTGGATTCATCCATCGACAGCAAACTCACCCTCCCTTTGGAATCGCTGCTGACCAGCTGCAAGGGCTGGCTGCTGCAGAAGGGGTGCAAAATGGTTTTTAAAAGAAAAAAATAAAAATAAAATAAAATGCTGGCTGGGGAATCCTGGGAGTTGAAGTCCAGACTTCTTAGAATCACAGGCCTGGGAGGGACCTTGGAGGTCCTCTAGTCCAGCCCCACCCCTGCCCAAGAGAGAGCTCCTTATTTGTATTCCGGACAGATGGTTGCCCAATCTCTTCTTGAAAACCTCCAGCGATGGAGCGCCCACAACTTCGGGAGGCAAGCTGTCCCACCGATTAATCGTTCGGTCGGCTCATCTTAAAACTGGCAAGGCTGAGACACACCGAGCTGGGCATTCAAACCACTTACCACGGCTCTCGTCCCGTGGACCAGTCCAGTGACAGAGCAAGGCAATCATCTCCCAGGTCAACACTGCACAGAGGTTGAAGCCTGCAAGTCTTCTACTGGAAAAAAAAGGAGAGTGCTCAGAACATTCCACATGGACGTGTCTCCAGCACCAGTTAGGAAACCTAGCATGATCTTAGTGGGAGATGCCGGGGGTTTTTTTTGGGTCCTCTTTGATTATTTTGCATTTTGGTGCGATTTCAGCGGCTCCAGATTGTAAGAATCCCGATGGGGCTTTTCGCCTTTCACGGTCCAAAGAGATAACGGATAAAATCATCGCAGGGAGCCACAAAATGGGCTTGGGTGGTTATGGACCTCCAGGCACCTACCTCGCTTCCCATCAAGTGGTAAAGCTTCACCGCCCCCTTGGCATTTGCCATGCCTAACACAGGATGCCCTGCGATGGGAACATGGCACCTTGAAGCAGAAGAGAGAGCAAAGGTATCAGCAGACGTCCAACAGATAGAAAAAAATTCCCTCCCTCCCTCATTTCCAGCTTGACTCAACCCAAGTCTTGGGTCCAGAAATTATGACACTGACTGAAAAGGATTTTAAAAAGCATGCTACCCATTTTACAGAAGGAAAACCAAAGCAAAAATAACATTTTACTTATCTATCTACCTTGAATATTTTTACACGTAACTCAAGGCGGCAAACATATGCAACAACCTTCCTCCTTCTGTTTTCCCCTCAACAACAATCTTGTGAGGTGGGCTGGACTCAGAGAGTGAATGACTGGGCCAAAGTCACCCAGCAGGCTTTCACGACTAATGTGGGACTAGAACTCACTGTCTCCTGGTGATTGGCCCAAAGTCACCCAGTTTGCTTTCAAGTCTAAGGCAAGACTAGAACTCGCCATCTCCTGGTGACTGGCCCAAAGTCACCTAGCTGGGTTTCCTGTCCACAGCAGGACTAGAACTCACAATATCCTCATGACTGTCCCAAAGCCACCCAGTTGGGTTTCCTGTCCACAGCAGGACTAGAACTCACAACCTGGATGATTGCTCAGCGAAGTTCACCTCAGATCTGACACCTCCTCCATCTAAAAGCCCCAACTTTATCCACCATGGGCAAATCTTTCCTGCACAGGTAATAAATAACCTGATGTCACCTATTCTAATTTCTCAAAGAAGTTAAAAAATTGCAAACGAAACGGAGAAGCATCCAGCCAACCATTTAAGGTCCAATATAGCCACCGTTTCCATCCTCTGGATCTCTGTCAGCGGTGTGAAAATTTGATCTTCAAAGGAATAGAGGTAGAGACGTCCTAGACGCACGGGGGCTTCGCTGTCCTGGCCAGGCTGTTTGGGAAGCAGAAAGACAGGCCAACACTCAACCGACCCATCGTAATAAGCCAACTACTCATCCTGGTGAAAATCAGAGCCATTCCTGGAAGGATCTGCCAAACTAGCCCGTACCAGTCAAAGAGAATATTTGTAGCACAGGGTTGAGCTGTGGGGTCCTTGGTGCTCTCTGAGCTTGGTGGTTTTCTTGCAGACGTTGCATGACCAAACTGGGTAACATCATCAGTGCCAAGAGGGAGTGGTGCTTGCAGAGTGCAGGAGAGGAGGAGGAGGAGATTGTGGGGTCCTTGGTGCTCTCTGAGCTTAGTGGTTTTCTTGCAAACATTTCATGACCCAACTAGGTAACATCATCAGTGCTAGAAGGGAAGAGTGCTTCTATCTAGCACTGATGATGTTACCTAGCTGGGTAATGAAATGTCTGCTAGAAAATCATCAATCTCCTCCTCCACCTCCGCACATCCCACTCCCTTCTAGCACTAATGATGTCACCTAGTTTGTGGCGTTTGCTCCCTGTTTACAGTCACAGGTTGCCCTAAAACCAGCACCTGTTATCCAGATAAGCAGGGATTAACACCAGACAAACAATCAAGGAGAAAATAATATCCTAACCAAGGCCCTACCAAGGAGAAAACCACACCCGAAGGAAGAAGCTATTGTATATAAACAGGGACCAAACACCACACAAGCACTGATGAGGTTACCTAGTTGGGTCATGAAAATGTCTGCAAGACGACCACAAAGCCCAGAGAGCACCAAGGAACCCCTCCTTTCAACCCTACCAATATTCTCCTTTATGAAGACTGCAACTGCAAAGCCATTTCGTAAGTTTTCTCCAGCTTCTTGAAAAGATCTACAGCTCTCACCTCACTCTCCGTTTTTTTCAACTGGTAGGTGCCACAGGCCAGGATGCGGTGCCAGCCTTCCACCGGGCACCATTCTACCGCGTCCGCGCTATACTCGGTATCCACCACCTGCAAAGTTTGCACCTTGCATTTGAAAGCCATGTCAATGCGCCTTCATTCTGCGCTGGAGAAAGAAGGGTGTGAGGGGGAAAGGAGATATTATTATTATTATTATTATTATTATTATTATTATTATTATTATTACTACGATTCTTGCCGTTGTATGGAATTTATTCCGTGATCAAAGCCATTTCGGACAGATTGCCATATTATCTAAGAAAACAAATAATCCTAAAGATGTAGCAAATGACGGCGGTCCTAACGATGAGGTCCTGGATCCAATATTAGCACGTTCCCACCCAAAGCCCTGCCCTGCGTTTTTTAAGAGAGGAAATATCTAATCATAGTAATAACTATAGGAACAGGAGTAGCCTTGATCCAATCTCTCACATAGGCCCCGCATTCCGTTATTTTTTTCCACAAAGGAAATAATAGCAACGGTAAAGAACAGCAATAACGACCCTCCCCAAAGAGACCCTCTCCAAAGCGCCCCCTCCCCAAAGGGACCCTCTTCAATCGGTCTTCCCCAAAGGGACTTTCTCCAAAGCGCCCCCTCCCCAAAGGGACCCTCTCCAAAGCGCCCCTCCCCAAAGGGACCCTCTCCAAAGAGCGCCTCCTCGTGCGCCCCTCTCCAAAGGGACTCTCTCCAAAGCGCCCCTCCCCAAAGGGACCCCACTCCAAAGCGTCCCCTCCCCAAAGAGACCCTCCCCACAGCGCAACTCCTCAAAGGGACCCTTTCCAAAGCGTCCCCTCCCCAAAGGGACCCTCTCCAAAGCGCCCCTCCCCAAAGGGACCCTCTCCAAAGCGCGCCTCCCCGTGCGCCCCTCTCCAAAGGGACCCTCCCCAAGCGCGGCGAGCCCACCCACCGGGCCGCCCTTCCTGTCCTCGGCGCGGGCTGGAAAAGGAAAGGCGCGGCGAGGCTGGGAGGCGGCGCCACCGGGCGCGCCTCTTCCTCTCCCCGCCTTCCTCGCCCGGCGGCCCCGCTGCGCTGCGCTGCGCTCCCCGGCCAGGGCAGGTGTGTCCCGCCAGGTGGGCGGCCTGGCCACGCCTCCTCCGGGCTGGGAGGGGGGTAACCCCGCCCCCTGGAGGGTCCCCAGGTGGAGACCAGCCGGCTGGCGCCTTCAGCCTGGCGCCCACCGGCTGGTTTGGGAGGACTACAAGTCCCAGCGGGCGCCCCCCCCGCCTCCCAGAGCCTGCCGGGAGTTGTAGTTCTTCCTTCCCTCGCCCTGTAGCAGCTACAGTCTCTGACCAGCCTTTTCCAAAAATGCCAAATAAATAGGGGAGATCGCGTTGTCCCCGGGGCTCTGCGGGGCAGCTGGCAGCCTCCAGCTGTTTTCCAGGCTGCAACCCCGCAGAATTTGGGGTCCGTGCAGGCTTCGGGGGGGGGGGAAGGTATGGATCCCCTGCCTGCACATCTGGAGGAAGCTGCATTGTTTTGCAGGGAGGGGAGAGGTGATGATGGGATGGGGGCAGAGGGGGTTTTCCCCCCCCCGAACAGAAAAATGCCAGGAGACCGGCTCAGAATAAGCACCTCTGGACTTATTCTCACGTTCCTTGAATGCACCTGGAGAAATGGTGGTTTTGATGCGCACAAAACAGAGGTGCAAAATGCTACATTTATTCCACACCCCTGGGAAGTTGAATTCGCTTTAATTCTTTTAAAATGCTAATTTTAGGGATAACTCAGCAGTTGGTTCCACCAGTGAAAGGGGTGGGGGAGGAAGAGATAAAAAACTGGCATATTTTTCCCCCAGGGATTCCTGGCACAGTCCTATCCTAATGGTCACTATCCAGTCGGTGGGAATAACACTATCCAGGTGGGAATAAAGTTATTCCCACTTGGGAAAACACACTCATACCTGTTTCCCATCAATCCTGGTGACAGGAATAGACTGTGTTCACACATTACAGTAAACCTTTTAAGCTGTTACAATTCACACAATATATTAAGCCCTAATAACGACAGCAATTAGATCATAAACGTCCCTATGCTGAATTGCAGTGGGCGCAACTAGCTCGCGTCCAGACTGGCTACACACATGCCAAGTTTCCACACTGATCTAAGCTGAACGGAGACAGGACTGGTTTGAGGCTCTCAACACAGGACAGCAGCAGAGCGATGGGGATACTGGATTGAAAAAGGGGGGGGGGTCCTCCCTGCAGCCCAGCTGCTTAGATGTATTGAAAGCATCCCCCGTTTCCTGGAACGCCCATTCCCAAACCGGAAAACAAGTGGGGGACCCCCCAATAAGTACGACCCATCTCTCCTGACCTCCTTCAGACAACCAAATTGCGAATTATTTAAGAGCTGCTTCATCTAAGGCAGGGGTGGCGAACCTATGGCACGGGTGCCAGAGGCGGCACTCAGAGCCCTCTCTGTGGGCACGCGTGCAGTCGCCCCAGTCCGAGGCCTTCAGCTGGGTTTTATAAAACCTTTTCGCTTTAGGCCTCCGCCGCCATGTGCAAAAAAAAAAAGGTTCAATCAATCACTCAATTTCAACTTCTCCCGGGGAAAAAAAAGATCTTGCAAAGTTGGAATTGATTGATTGAACTTTTTAGTCCCACCCAGTCTGCTGTTACCACTGCAGCCACGCCCACCCAATGGGCCACACCCACCCAATGGGCCACACCCACCCGGCACCCGACGATGCATAAATGGGTTTTGGGTTGCAGTTTGGGCACTCGGTCTCTAAAAGGTTCGCCATCACTGATCTAAGGAATAGTTATCATGCACTCTGCAGCTGAGGAAGGATAGTCCCCCAACTTATAACCGTTCATTTAGTGACCAAAATTACACCGGCGCTGGGGGGGAAAAAACGACTTAGGACCGGTTTTTCGTATTTACGACTCCAGCAGCATCCCCTTGGCCACGTGATCAAAATTCAAATTCGGACGCTTGGCAACTGCCTGGTATATATGTCGGTTTTTTAGTGTCACGTGATCCCCTTCTGCTACTTTTTGAGGAGGCAAAGTCAACAACCGCGTTCCCTACATTTAACACCCGCAGCGGTTCACATAAAGGTGTGTCAAGAGAGGGTGCAAAACGGGACCACAACTGCCTCCCCTAGCAACAGAAACGTTGGCCCTCAATTGTGGCCGCTAAGTCGAGGACTGTCCGTTAACATTAGGCAGAAGCTGACAAGCCGCACATCAGCTCCAATTCCATATCGTGGGGAAATACATTTGGGGGGGGGGGAGAAAAGAGGTAACAGCAAAGAACAGGTCACGCCAGCAGAAAGCAAGTCCACAAAATATTGGGAGGGGGGGGGGGGAAAGGAGAAAAGAAAAAAGCCAGCGATCCATTCCAATCCTTTTACTTGAAAACACAACTTCCATGCAGAGTTGTTCAGATTATAACTGCTGATGTCTGTGCTAAATCTCTCCCCCCGGGGGTGGGGGCTTTTAAAAAAACCTTTTTTCCCCCTCCCCAGGAGCCAAAAAAGCTTGCGCTACAGGACAGTTATTATTATTATTTTTTCCAACCGACAATGTGTTCTCACCCGAACGTTTACAGTAAATGAGTCCTAGATAAAGAGCACTGCTAACCCCTCCTTCTCCTCCTCTTCCTCCCCCAGAAAACAAAACAAAACAAAAAAAAAACCCCAAACAACCCCCCCCTTTGAAACAAAACAGAAACCTGTACACAACTTTACAAACATATTAACATATAAATAACAAGAAGCTTCCAAGTAGGAGAGCTTCCATAGTAGTCTCTTTTGTTCTTCCCCTGCTTGAGATTTGTGTGATTTTGTCGTGGTTGTTTTTTTAACACTAGGAGGGAAAAAAAACAAAGGCCAGTTCCCTCTGGCTCAAGCATCACAAGGGGGTTGGTAGATAGATGATCCACTTGGTCATTTGTCTTCTCTTTCTTTTTCTCCTTGTTGTCAGTGCCTCTGGCTTCAAGTCAGCAGTCTGTGCAAAGTCGGAGCCCCCCCCTCCCCCAATGCCCTCGCCCTCCGGGAAAGGGGAAAGGCCCTCGCGGCGGAAGTTTTTGGCCAGCCATGTCATCGCTCTGGTCCCAGTTCCTGCTGGACGGGCCGTTTCTTCTCCCGACAGTGCTTCTTGTGAGCGGGCCAGTCTTTCTGCTGGCACTGGGAACCGCAGTACCGCGCAACCTGGCAACGGCCACAGATGTTAAATTCGCGTAACTGGAGCGAGGAGGAGCAAGGGAAAGAAAGAAAGAGGAAAAAAAAGAAGAGAGAGAGAGAAATCAATCAATCAACGTTTCTGGGACTCTCCCTGGAAAAGACCCCCAATGGAGCCGAGCCCAAGAAGCTGGGAGCATGGACTGGAGATAGAGAGGGGGCCAAGAGGTGGTTGGCATCTGGATATGAGCCGGCTTGGCCACTTGATAAGGGCCACCTTGGTTTCTATTAAGAGATGCCAGAGAGTCCCACAACTTAGGTTGGCTTACAAGACGCAACGGGTTTGGTCTAGTTTGTTAGTGTGGTCTACAGTTGCAGGCGAAAAAGTGGGAGACCGTGAGTTCTAGTTCTGCCTTAGCTATGAAAGCCAGCTGGCTGACTTTGGGCCAATCACCAGGAGATGGTGAGTTCTAGTCCTGCCTTAGACGTGAAAGATGGCTGGGTGACTTTGGGTCAATGACCAGGAGATGGTGAGTTCTAGTCCTGCCTTAGACGTGAAAGATGGCTGGGTGACTTTGGGTCAATGACCAGGAGATGGTGAGTTCTAGTCCTGCCTTAGACGTGAAAGCCGGCTGGGTGACTTTGGGCCAATCACCAGGAGATGGTGAGTTCTAGTCCTGCCTTAGGCATGAAAGCCAGCTGGGTGACTTTGGGCCAATCCCCAGGAGAGGGTGAGTTCTAGTCCCGCCTTAGGCATGAAAGCTGGCCGAGTGACTAATCACCAGGAGACGGTGAATTCTAGTCCCAGCTTAGGCATTAAAAAACCACCTGGGTGACTCTGGGCCAATCCCCAGGAGACCCCGTGACAGGCTGGGCACGTACCTGTTTCTCAATCATTGTGCAGGGAGGGTAGTGACATTCATAGTATGTGCAGGAACTCTCCTCTTCTTCCACCACATCTCCGTTAGCGTTGTAGTAGCGTGTGACATTCAATACGGGGAACTGCTCCTCAATGGGATCAGTCGGAAGCTGTTGTATCGCCAGCCAGTATAAGCTTTGTTCCCTTCAACAACAACAACAACAGTAGGAGCAGCAGTTAAGCATTTCTTCTGCCAAGGTGAGATAACGAAACGCGTCCTTTCACACAGTTAAGGATTTAGACCAGGGGCCTTCAAACTTGGCCCTTTTATGACTTGTGGATTTCAAGTCCCAGAATTCCTCAGCCAGGCACGCATCAAGGACTCCCCCCCCCCCTCATTTCAACCCCGAGTTACAAATATTCTAAGGAGTGAAAATATTTAATTCAAAACTGCCAGACAACTTGAGCCAATCTTAACACTTCTCTGGTTCTTTTGAACTATTATTGAAGAACGTGTCTCTAGGATCCTAAAAAAATTCCTGACGTTTTCTTCCAGCCGCTGAAAATGCTTCGGATTTAATTCCCTTCTATTTGTCACTCCGTCCGCTGAGTTTATTTAAAGTGGATACCAGCTTTCTTACCCATGAAATATGCAAAGCAACCAAGAATTAAAAATAGGCTTGAATGCCCAAGGAAGGTTTTTTATCTCGCGGCGCTCTTGACGAGCTCGCTGCTCCGAAGAAAGACAAAAAGATTTTGATTCCACATCATGCCAGGGCAAAGCAGCTTATAGGCACAGAATCGGATTCTTTACACTTATGCAGTGTGGAAATAACCTTGAGCCAACGATGGAAGAGAAGCAACTTAAGGCGTGAGCAGCTTGGAGTGTCTTGATTCAGTTTGGTATAAAACAAGCCAAAGAGACACTGTGGCAGGCTTTCAAGATCCTGTTATTCTATCCCACCATAACAACCTAGCCCGAATCCTCGTTTGTTTCACTGTGTCCATTTCTTGACATGACTCCCTTCAAAGGGCAATTTTTTACACCCCCTTGTAATCTATAATTGCAACCCTGCACTTTTAAAACACAAACACTGACAGGAGCTACGGACACAAGGAGGAATTTTCTTCCCCCTGAAAGAATGGGATTCTCAGGATACAAGTGACTTAAAACAGAAAAGAGGCAAAGAAAGGCAAGGAAATCGTGGCCATTCTTAAGGGCGCTTTTAAACTTTGCCTTCTGTTTCCTCCTGCTCTCTCTGCATCTCTTTAGAGAGAATTTACCTTTGTTTGCTAGAGATTTCTTCAGCTTTGGGCCTCCAGCCCCACGGCACCAATCGCAGGTTGTCCAAGCGATTGTCAACGGTCACTGCATTCAAATGCACCACCTGGAACCCTGGGGCGATGCCTCCCCGGTGTCTTTCCCTGAAAAGAAATAACAAAGTCTACAGTTCAGGGGTCGGCTGGATGGTGATGCTCACACCCTGGATATGGGGAACTCTTGCCAATCTAGGCTGGCATGAAAACACCCAGGGACCTGCAGCCTAATTCTAAGCAGAAAGGAGCGCAAATAGTCCTCGGCTTATGACAAGGGAGCCCGACATTTCCATTGCTAACCAAGACGCTTGTTAAGTGAATTTTGCCCCGTCTTATGACTTTGCTTGCCACAGTTAAGTCAATCACTGCAGTTGTTTAAGTTAATGACTACCGTTAAGTGAGTCAGGCTTCCCCATTGATTTTGCTCACCAGAAGGTTGGCAAAAGGGGATCGCGTGACCCCGGGACACTGCGACTGTCATAAGTACGAGTCAGTTGCCAAACGTCCGAATTTGGATCACATTCACCGTGGTGTGAAAAACGCTCACGTGTCACTTTTTTTCCGGGCCGCTGTAACTTCGAACGGTCGCAAAATGAACTCGTGGGCAAACTGTACAGCTGACTGGTTTTGCAAGACCTTCACAAGTTCCTGGTTCCTCTAAGTTCATAAAGCCCTTTTGTAAATTCAGATCCAAGTCCCGTTGAAATAGGGACTTCCCGGCACCCTCTAATGTTTTTAGCAGGCCCCAGGGCTGCAGTTGCTGAGATGATGCAAATTGGGTTCAACCATGTTAGATTAATGGACACAGGGTAAATTAGATTATTTTTATTCACCCCCTTTTTTGTTTTCTTTTGAGGAGGCCGAGTTTATTTTTGAAGAGTTTTAAACAAGTTTTAAGATTACTACTACCTGCTTCTTCACAGCAAGAATTCTCCCAAGCAATATTCTAAGTGTGGTCTTACTAACGCTTTATAGAGCAATATTAATACTTCACGTCACCTTGATTCTATCCCTCTGAATGTATAACCCACACGAGCCTCATTAAGCAGTTACCTCTCTTAACTTGCAACACTTCTAAGCACACCTTACACACACAGTTCTCTTTGGAAACCTGTAGCTGTGTTTCCTCTCCACAACCTCACTTACCACAGCAGCTCGTGCAGCAGACGCCCGAATCCCCTCCCTCGGTTCTTGTCGAACGCAAAAGCAAAGATTCTAGCACCATTCCCGTCAGCGTCAACTTCCATTCGAGCCTGGACAGAAAAGAAGAATTCATTCTGTGTTTTTGAAGCATCTGAACACCCGTCCACTTTCCAAGATCACTAACAATATGGATATTACAAAACGCGACGCTAAGTCAGTGAATAAGGTTTTTCATTGAAATTAAAAATAACAGTTAATAGAAGTCTTAAAAAATAAATACATAGATAAAGAGCCTAGAGACCAATCAATGTTGATTATTCTTTGAAAGCACCAAGGGAGGTTGGTGGCTCCAACTCAAGGCCACATCACAATACAATCCACATTTTCTGTAAAAACACAGGTGGGCCCAGAAACCATCCAGTTCTCATTGTAGTGTCAAACCACTAAACGTCAACAATGGCTTGCGCACAAAACCTTGGAATATTGGAACTGAAGTGCTTCAGAAATGAGGCTGGGGAAGAGGGAGGGAGAAGGTCATCCAGCTTGTCAGAGTGGCTAAGAAAAAACTGGAAAATTAACACAGGAGATGAAGACCCGTATTCTTACCTCAAAAGAGTAGCTCTCTACGAGAGGAATGTCTTGCTCATCTATCAGCGTGTATTTTGTCTGCAATTAAAAAAAAATAAATCAAAATTAAATATTCTGCAAGAATAAGTTGCTGTAATTTACTAGGGGGCCTTTTGCATTTCACAACAGCCACACACTAAACAATTTGAGGCAACACATTCTGGGGTAGNTTCAGTGGCCAATCACCAGAAATTTATTTCAAAAATAAAGCTTTTGTTTTGGAGTCTCTACCCAATTAGATCCTCCACAAATTTAAATCTGCTAGATGCAGCAAGGTCTATTCCTTGCAGCAGCATTTCCAGCCACACATTCTGAGGATATGGAGGAATCTCCCTATTGGTCTTCATAAAGCAAAGAAGAAAGCATAAGAAACAAAGACTATCAAGTGTTTTCTTTCTTTTTCAGCCAGCAGCTACAGGCTGTCAAGAAAAAGCCTTTTCAAAGCCTGCTTTTGTGAGAGTATTATTTAAGATCTTCAATTCGATTCGTAGTCTGGGACTGGTAAAAACTGAAGTTATTATTGTTGTTCATCACACAGTCAGCCAGATGTTCAAACTGGATTTGGCATTTTTGTCTATCTATCGAGTCCTTTCTAAGGACCTTGGATAGGCAGGTGTATGTACTGTATAATTAGGTTTAAATGTGCTGCCTATCTCGCCATAGATCTGCCTATCTCTAGGAGGTTCACAATCATAAAAAAAATGAAGAAACGAAAAGGCAGTTTAAACAAAGCAAAAGGGAAACAGCAGAATAAAACCAACAACATCATGCTTGCGGGGGAACTATCAACAGTTCCGAAAGACTCTCCCAACACAGAACTTATTTTCTCCTAAAAGAACACAGGAAGCCTCCTAAAAGACTAGACGCCCATCCGCTGCAGCAGCAGTTTTATGGAAAGCCTTCTCCGGGGTCCCCAACTGGAGATGCACAATCACCCAGCATCCAACCATCTGGGGACTCTAAAGAGCAGACACCCACCTCCAGCCACCCCAATTAAGCCCCAGACCCCTCCCCATTTACCAGCCATGCAATCCTCCCCAAGAACCCTGCCAGAGACCCACCCTGGCCCCAGAATGTCACCCTTTCCCAAGGAACCAAAAGGCACCCCATCTTTTTTTTTGGGGGGGTGCATATAAAACCATCCAAAGGCACCTGCCTCTAGAGAGACATCCAGGCTGGAAGAAGGCTCCTTTCAGGCAGGGTCTCCATACCCCCGCCCCCAATACCCTGACTCCCCATCCTCCCAGGCCCCTGGAGGGAGTGATGGGAGTTGGAGTCCCACCCACGCTTACAGGGTGCCTGACTTTGGGGAGACCCTCCCTTTCCTTCCCCTCCCCCAGGGAGCGGGTGGGGGGTGCAACCGCCCCCCCAAGAGAGAAGGGGGCGAGGAACACCCCCCCCAAGGTGGGCGGTGACGTCACAGAGTGCCCGGTGTGACGTCACCCGCGCGGAGACCCCCCCTTCCCAGGAGGAGAGAGGCAGGGCCCCTCAGGCCCGTGGGGGAGGGAGGGAGGGAGGGGAGAGGGGAGGGAAGGGTCGGCCCGCACCTTGCCCGCCACACGGCCGAGCCTCACGATGCCCAGCTTGAAGTCGGTCATGGCCCCGGCCTGGGCGGAGGAGAGGAGGAAGGGGGGAAGAGGGGAGAAGAAAGAGGAGAAGGAGAGGAGGAGGAAGAGGAGGAGGAGGAGGGGAGGCCGCGCTGGACGGAGACGCCGCCNTTCAGTGGCCAATCACCAGAAATTTATTTCAAAAATAAAGCTTTTGTTTTGGAGTCTCTACCCAATTAGATCCTCCACAAATTTAAATCTGCTAGATGCAGCAAGGTCTATTCCTTGCAGCAGCATTTCCAGCCACACATTCTGAGGATATGGAGGAATCTCCCTATTGGTCTTCATAAAGCAAAGAAGAAAGCATAAGGAACAAAAACTATCAAGTGTTTTCTTTCTTTTTCAGTCAGCAGCTACAGGGTGTCAAGAAAAAGCCTTTTCAAAGCCTGCTTTTGTGAGAGTATTATTTAAGATCTTCAATTCGATTCGTAGTCTGGGACTGGTAAAAACTTAAGTTATTATTGTTGTTCATCACACAGTCAGCCAGATGTTCAAACTGGATTTGGCATTTTTGTCTATCTATCGAGTCCTTTCTAAGGACCTTGGATAGGCGGGTGTATGTACTGTATAATTAGGTTTAAATGTGCTGCCTATCTCGCCATAGATCTGCCTATCTCTAGGAGGTTCACAATCATAAAAAAAATGAAGAAACGAAAAGGCAGTTTAAACAAAGCAAAAGGGAAACAGCAGAATAAAACCAACAACATCATGCTTGCGGGGGAACTATCAACAGTTCCGAAAGACTCTCCCAACACAGAACTTATTTTCTCCTAAAGGAACACAGGAAGACTAGGCAGCACAGTCTTATGAAAAGTCTTCTCCGGGGTCCCCAACTGGAGATGCACAATCACCCAGCAGCCAACCATCTGGGGACCCCAAAGAGCAGACACCCACCTCCAGCCACCCCAATTAAGCCCCAGACCCCTCCCCATTTACCAGCCATGCAATCCTCCCCAAGAACCCTGCCAGAGACCCACCCTGGCCCCAGAATGTCACCCTTTCCCAAGGAACCAAAAGGCACCCCATCTTTTTTTTTGGGGGGGTGCATATAAAACCATCAAAAGGCACCTGCCTCTAGAGAGACATCCAGGCTGGAAGAAGGCTCCTTTCAGGCAGGGTCTCCATACCCCCGCCCCCAATACCCTGACTCCCCATCCTCCCAGGCCCCTGGAGGGAGTGATGGGAGTTGGAGTCCCACCCACGCTTATAGGGTGCCTGACTTTGGGGAGACCCTCCCCTTCCTTCCCCTCCCCCAAGGAGCCGGTGGGGGGTGCAACCGCCCCCCCAAAGAGAGAAGGGGGCGAGGAACACCCCCCCAAGGTGGGCGGTGACGTCACAGAGTGCCCGGTGTGACGTCACCCGCGCGGAGACCCCCCCTCCCAGGAGGAGAGAGGCAGGGCCCCTCAGGCCCGTGGGGGAGGGAGGGGAGAGGGGAGGGAAGGGGCGGCCCGCACCTTGCCCGCCACACGGCCGAGCCTCACGATGCCCAGCTTGAAGTCGGTCATGGCCCCGGCCTGGGCGGAGGAGAGGAGGAAGGGGGGAAGAGGGGAGAAGAAAGAGGAGGAGAGGAAGAGAAGGAGGAGGAGGAGGAGGAGGAGGAGGGGAGGCCGCGCTGGACGGAGACGCCGCCGAGGCCACGCGCCGCCGCCGCCGCCGCCGCCGCCTCGCGCACACCCGGAGCGAGAGAAGGAGGAGGAGGAGGAGGGGCGGGCGAGGGGGCGGGGCCGCACGCCCCGCCGCGCCGCCGGCCTCCTTCGGCCGGCCGCCGCCCAATCAGCGCGCGAGCCGCGCCGCTGCGTCATCGCCTCCGCGCCGCCCGGAGGGGAGGGGCCCGCCCGGCCTCCCGCGCGACGGCGCGACGGCCGCCGCGTGACCCGACCGCCGGCGGCCGCGGCTGATGACCTCACAGCTGTCTCTCTCTCTCTTTCTCTCTCTCTCTCGGCCCCGCCTCCCGCCCCACCCAGGCGGCCTCTTCCTCCTCCTCCTGCATCGCCGGGTGATTAGACTTCCCGCGGCGGGCCGGCCGGCGCATGCGCGGAGCGCTCTGCCCCGCCTTTTAAAGGAGACGTCCCCTCTCTGGGGTGCATCGCCTTCTTAAGTATATCTGCACACACAAGTGTGTGTGTGTGTGAGTGAAGAAGCAGGCATAAGTATGTGCGGGCATACCCATGTAGGTATTATAGAACGTTTCTATTAAATATGTCTACTATAAATGCTTTATATACTGTATACACACACACACACACACACACACACACCCAACTTCGAATTTATTTGCTGGCATCTCTATAATAGTCTTTCAAAATGGCTCAATGAGTGCCGATCAATTTTATGGCTTTTTTTCCACCCAGTTGTTAAATGAATCACTGCAGTTGTTAAGTGAATCATGCAGTCGTTAAGCGAATCCAGCTTTCCCCATTGACTTTGCTTGTCAGAAGCCAGGGAAGGTTAACCTAACCCAGGATGCTGCAGCCCTCCTAAATACACTTCAATGGCCAAATGCCCAAATTTTGATGCTGCAACGGTCGTAAGTGTGAAAAACAGCCATAACTCACTTATTTCCCCAGTGCCGTCGTAACTTCGGACCGGTGCCTGTAACTCGAGTACCGTGTTCAGCTTTGGAAGATGGTTCGTGCATCCTACAGATCTTTCTTGGATTTCCCCATGGAAATCAACAGGACAAAGCCACGCTTGTTCAAGCCATAAACCGTGGTTTGCTGGAGCCACAAAAAAAACAAGCCATCTCATTTTAGCCTGCTTTCCTTTCCCAGATTTAATGGAGACGCTATATATATATAATAGAGGCACTAAAATCTATTTTATAACATAATATATATATTTTTCCCTTCCATTCAGTTGGATCGGATTCTGGGAGACTGCCTGGACCAATGCCTGCAATTTCCTTTGCCCTTCGCTCTTTCCTAGGCGGCTTGTGACTAGCCCAAGGTGTAAGTTTAATAGAGACGCAATATAGACCACAGCTTGTATATGAATGAATGGGAGAAGCATGGTGGCTTCCCCAAGCTGTGGCTAAGCCAACCAGGTCTTGGTGCCCTTCGTGATCCAGCCTCCTCTTGAAAAAAGCCACCTTGCTACGGCCAGCTGACAGGTGACCAATGGCCACACTCCAGCCAAACGGAACCTCGGACGTGAGAATCCATTGATGTCACATATCTGCCATTCCAGGTGACCGAGTATGGTGCAGTCCACATCCCTGGGCCTTCGAAATGGAATCTCAGAAGAAACACATCAAGTTTATGGCTCAGAAATACTTGGACAGCAGCCAGAAAAAGACCCCTCAAACATCATCCATGTATAAAAGGCAGGTACAATCGTTCTCACCGAACGGGAAGAACTATCTATAGCCCTACGTCTTGCCTGGGGTTAAAATAGGCCAGGCCAAGTAAGAGGGTATGAGCAATATTACAGATTGGTTCCCCCAATCTGTGGTTTGTTGCTAAGGCAACTTGAACCGATCCATAATAGTGGGCATTGCAAACGTGTCAATCAGCCAAACAACCCATTTTATAGTTTAGCACATGCTGAGAGACAGATCTATATATGTTCTCCTGATGTTGGGATTTTGAACTGGGGTTTTCGTTGGCGTACTGCCTACCCAACAAGAACAGTCTATTGGCTCATGTTTAGCCAGGATAGTCCTGAAACTGATGTTTGAAATTAGAAAAGGTTAATCTTATGGGACTTCAAGACCCATCTTATTATTTTGCCTAGCCTGGGTTCAAATTCTTATGTGCTTAGAATTTAGAAGGCTTCCCAAGGCAGGACCTTAAAAGTATATTTCTTGAAAGGACTTCATAGGGTGAAGTCTGGTGTTTTGTTTCCAGGGGTCATCGAGGCAGAGAAACTAGTGGGACCCCCTTATTCCCAGACATTCATGGTGGAAAGATAAACAGTAAGTGCAATCAATCCTTCAGGACAATGCTGCAGGTTCCTTTTTAGATTTGTGTTCTCTTCAGTGAAAAAGTTGCACATGCCTAATTGCACTGCAATATAGAGAACATCAGTGTGGCAACTTCAACAAAATTGACTCTCCCTTTCTGATTGCAAAACTGGCTTCCAAATCCCCTGGCCCCATTCTCCCTCTAAAATTCTGCTTTTTTGAAAACCACCCCTCTTAATTAAGGCTGCTTCTAAATTCTTTCTGTCTAGAAGAAACAAAAGCCCAAGGCCGGATGCAGTTCCTATTGAACACGGACAGTCCTGGCCCAGCAGCGTACTCACCTCCCACGATGGCCTGCAGAGAGACTATCGCCCCGTCCTACACGTTTGGTTGGAAGACCCCCCCTCGAGGTACTGGGGAAGGGGTGCAGGGGCCACGGAATTATCACCTTGGCCTGGAGCCATTGCTAAGTCCATCTGGCAGGTAAACTCACCTGCCTTTAAAATGAGGGCGAGGCAGCTCCTTCTGAGAACTTTGTTGAGTCAAATTGGTCAACCCAAGTGTGAGGTTAAATTATGAGGAAGGACTCAAGATTTGAAGTGTTCTCCCCTTGTGCTGCAAAGGTGACTTTTTTATTTTTTTACTAGAAGGCGGAGGGCGCCGCGCGTGGCAAAAGTCTTGGTTCATGAGCAACAATCCCTTCTGGAGGAAAGTGGACTTTAACACCGAAACCAACGTACGTGTGTCACTTAAAACGCAGAATCACAGGAGGCTCCTTCAGATGTAATGTCCGTAAGTCCACCAAGGGCGGACATCAATACACCTTAGTGCAGGGGTCCCCAACGCCGGTACTGGGCCGCGGCATGCCAGCAACCGGTCCGCACAAACAAGCAAAAGCCCATCCGTGGGATGGAGGTAGCACACAAAACCAGGGTCTCCGGTCCGTGGAAAAATCTCTCCACGGAACTGGTCCCTGATGCCTAAAAGGTTGGGGGCCTCTGTCTTGGTGGATCTGCTCTACCTCACCTTTTTTTCCACCCCCCCAGTGGCCTTCTCCTTCACAGTACGGTCAACTCTTAGGAACTAAATCTGCCAACCGGCCAAACACCCCAAATTTCACCTTCGGCCAGAGGGGCGAGTTGTCTTTGATCAACAAAGGTGAGATGGTCCCCAAGAAACATCCTCTGGACACAGGAAGGAATTCCTGGTCTCAGAAAGCCACCAAGGAAAACTCCAGGAGGTTGAGGAACATCTGGAGAACTTGGGCAAGCAGGTCAACAGCACTTTGGCTGACCTTGGAGCCACGTAGGGCCCGGCTTGTTTCGGATGTGGGAGAGAGAATCAGGGAACCAGGCTGTAGAACACCCCAAAGGTAATTATTTCTTCTGTATTCAACTTGCAGGCACCGTAGATGAACCAAGCCCCAATCAATATAACATCGAACGTGCCTACACGCTTATGCTTCACCGGTCACCATCCATCATCATCAACCCTGTCCCAGTCACTCTGTTCAGATGGGTTGAAAAAGGTGAGGAAGGGAGCAATCGGAAAGTCTATGAACACTCTCAGCCATCCAGGTCATAGTTGCATCAAAAGTGGTTTTAATTTTGAAAAGGCAACTGGACTGGGGGGTTTTGAGGAGAAACAAAGATGTCACGCTTCCTATCCTGGAAGGATAGGACCATTTTGGAGAGAAAGGACCGCCGGTTTGAAAGAGGGGTCAATTTTCATTCCTCTTAGCTTCAGAGCAAAATCCAGATATGCAAGCAGACATCAAATGACAACCTGTTTTTTTTTTTTTTTTTTACAGAGGGGACTCCAGGTCCAGGGGCTTACAACGTAGACAAAGGGTACAACGCTCGTTTGCCCAGGTGCCCAGGCTTCTACATCCAAGGTGTGAGACGGCCAAAGAAGCACGAAACAGGCCCATTTTCAACACTGTGAAGCTACCACCAACAACAGAACTAGTCTGGGCTCCTTCCCACTCCGTTTCTGCTCCTTGTAATATCTGTGGGCTGCTTGCGGTTAATACATGCTTGCAAAAAAAACAAAAAACCTAAAAGGGCACAATCTCCTGTTTATAACCCTTCTAGGTATCAGGCTGAGTTATATTAGCAAAGGGAGAAGAGAAATAAAGAATATCCATCTATGAAAACTATGAGGACCAAACCAGTAGTCCATTGGAAATGTTTGTGGAATAGAAAACCTGTCATTTAAAAATCAAAAAACGAAGTAGAGAGTTTGCCAATTTTACACTTGAATTACCCCCACAAGGCAAATCTGGTGTAATTGGTTCAAGTCTTAAAAATATAGTCGAGAAAGAACTGGAGTTAACCTGGTGCACTTTTTATTTTTTGAAAAGCGTACAACAACTCTTTCAGCACCCTAAGGGAATCACACCTTAAAAGAGTCCAAGTTAGAGAGGTGATGAAGATCCCATCTTTCATGGCAGCAGCCAAACAAACTACATTTTTTTTTACAGAAGGATAGAAAAACCAAGTTGCAGGCAGTCTGTTCAGGTGGCAGACCTAGTTCTGTTGGGAGAAGGAAAAAAAATAAAATAAAAGGCCGATTCAGTTTATTATTGAGCGACTGGCCCATCATCTAACTGGCTTTTGTGCCTAAGGCAGGACTAGAACTCAATGCCTCCTGGTGATTTGCCCAAATTCACCCAGCCAGCTTCCGTGGCTAAGGTGAGATTAGAACCTACTGTCTCCTGGTTTCTAGGCCAGCACGTTAACCACAGCCCCCAAAGGCTGCAGCTTAAATTTGCTTCCAATCAATTGACTTTTGGGAAGGCAAAATACTCACCGCTGGGCATTCAACTGCCCCGCTATTGATGTCGTCAATAATATCGTGAGGGTGTCTCCCATCAATACTGCAGCCAACCGACTGAGCAGTTCCCAGGATCTCCTTAATAGTGCCTGCAAAAGGGCCATGGATGTCTGAATTCACATCGGTGTCCACCTGCCACAGCATGCAAACTTACTTCCCTATCCCAAAAGGCCAGACGTTCAAAAGGCACAGTAGGCCTAACTGCATAAAGAGTCCCCCCCTTCCCTGATCAGGAGGTGAATTTGTTAATTCCTTGTGTTTTCTTAACACACAAGGTGCTCTCCCAATCATCCATCAACGGTTTATTACACCTTGTTTGGAAATCAACTGCTTCTCCTCTGAGGGCTGTACTTGTTCCAAGCCACCCCAATAACCAGGTGCGTTTGAATACAAGGCGCAAACTTCAGAGGAAAGGCCAAATCTAGCTCACAATCGAACCAGCCATACTTCTAATAATTGTCAGCTTCAGATTCATTTAAGACAGGGGCCTTTAAACCTGGCCCTTGTATGACTTGTGGACTTCAACTCCCAGAATTCCCCAGCCAGGCACACGTTGAAGCCCACAAGTCATACAAGGGCCAAGTTTGAAGACCCCTGATTTTTAAGAAGCGGTCCCATCTTACCTGAGAGCTCCCGGGCCAAGGACCGATGTCTCATCTGCCGGGCAATGTTGACGATCTCATCGAAGCTGACACTGCCACTGTGTTTAACTGTTAGGAGACAAAAAGAACAAAATAGGAGCCCAGTTGGGGTTTTTTTTTGCAAAGAGAGCAGATCACATCTATTAGAAAACTATGCATGCTTGTCCTACTTCTGTTCCCAGTCTTCGGCACAGAGCTACCCACGGGGAGAATAATAGCTCTGTTTCCTTGAAAGGGGGTTTCCTCTCAGCTCACCACTGGAACGCGCAAGCCACGGCTGAAAGCAGGCAGGCACAGTGGCGGGTGGCTGGTGCAAAAGACATCAGTGCTGTGGGGTTCAAGGCCAGTTTCATCCTCACCCCTTAAATAAATAAAAGCAAGCAGACACTCACTGTTCTTCTGCTTCTTGCGATCACGAGGCGGCTCCTTCAGAGCTTTGATAATCAGGGCAGAGGCTGATGGGACCACCTCAATCTATACAGGGTGCAAACAGCCAAATCAGATCTGCTTTTCTGCTCTAAGCAATCCAATCCAGCTCATTATAGCTTCAACAATAATCTATGTCTTGGTGCCTTTAACTGAACCACAGTGCAATCTGGTGTTGGCTGAACTCAAACCCAGTGTGATTTACTCAACAAACTATATTTAAACAAAATGTGCACGAGCCCCATTTGACATTTGTGTGTGGAGCCTGCGAGCTGGCACCATACTTGTGCAATGCCTGAACCATTTACAAGGCGACAAGTTAAGATGGCAGGCCTTTACACAAGGATGCTGTAACAAGAAGCAGGGTTTTGAAAACACGGGTCCGAAATGCAAGCCACCCGATGCTATTCCCAAGCTACAAAATGCAGCCCAACTTTCACACCCTACTGATCATCAGGACCACGTTATTAATCCATCAGGGTCCAGGATTCCCAAAGGGCTTGGATTACAGTCAAGGTCCAGTCTTGGAGACCTCCCACCCAAATAAACTTGAGTGGTACTCATTTTATCGACCTCGGAAGGATGAAAGGCTGAGTCAACCCTGCCGGGATTACAGCTCGGCCAGTCTTGGCACGTTGACCAGGGAGCCATCCCTTGTGGCGTTGTGTGTACCTGTGCTTGCCTGTTCTGAATGGTCAGCTTCACGGTGATCCTCAGACCCTTCCAGTCGCCGGTGGCCTTGGCAATGTCATCTCCCACCTTCTTTGGAGACTGGAAAGTCAGAAGCAGAATTTTTAAGTATAGTTTTTAACAATTAGCTGATCTACGCCAACATTTTGTTTCGGTATTGGCCCTGAAATAGGACAGTGTTTGACTAAACAACTGGTAACTGTCCAGTCATTTAAATTCTCTGCAAGTCAATCAATGCCAAATATTAGCCCAGATGACGTGATTCTAATGGTTAACACCATTAGAAGGGAGACCATTTTGTGGACTTAAGAATCACACTGCTTATAAATCTTCCAACCCACTATTTGGGGGGGAGGGAATAAATTCACCCACCATAGGCGTGGAAAACTGATTGTCTGAAGCAGTTTCTCAACAACTCACACATAATTCACAAGCCTTTTAGGCTAAGTCTTCCAAATGGAGGCAAAACAGGCCACTTTTTGCTTGCTTTAGAAGAGATTAAGGTGGGCCAAAAAGAGATTCTCTACTCAAATTAAATTCCCAGAGACAAACAAAAACAACACTCTGATTCGGAAAACGTAAAAAAGACATACCAAACCCAAAGGTCCGATTTTGGGAGCCAGGGCAGAAGTGGCCCCGACTTCACCTCCGGTGCATCTCAGGAACACTGCCAGAAAAGGAAAAAAAATAAACACAATATAATAAATGATTTAATAAAAATTAATCCTAAACGCTTCCTAGCAGCTGCATGGAGATCTCCACGCTGCCTTCACACGTGATCAATTTAATTATTTTGCAATTCAGAGGGAAACACAAATGGCAACCCAGACCGAGGTTTGTGCAAAGCTAGAAAAACGGGTGAATAAATAATAATCATAAACGTCGGAAGGGACCCTGGAGGTCATCTAGTCCAACCCCCTGCTCAGGCAGGAAACCCTATACCATTTTCAGACAAATGGCTGTCCAGTCTCTTGTATGGCAGAATTAATTATCTTATTAAAACCCCCTTTTTGCGATCCCGTAATCCCTTTGATTAAATTTATATAGCGCCCCTCTCATTTCGTTATTATTTCATCTTCAATCGTCTGAAAAGTGGATGAAATGATGAACTAACCCCCTGATTAAGGGAGGGAAATTGGCTTCAATAGGAAAGGGAACAAGACAACAGGGATCAAAATCAAGGAAAAAAAAAACCAGAAACACAAGGTAGACACGCCAAGAAGCGTTCACACGTGCTGGTCCTGCAGAACGCTCTAACAGGAGAGAACCATTCAGCCGGATTAATGCTAAATGCCGCCTAAAGAGAAGAGCCAGCCGGGCTCCATACCCACCGACTTTGATCTCGTTGGGGTCGAACTTGGGCGGCATGATGGCTACAGTCACGTCCGGCCGACGTCCGAGTCAGATGGCGGCGGATTCACAAAACAAGAACCCGGACCCGCGTCGAAAACTCGAAAGGCCTCGGAAACGCGATGCCGCGGCATATAGCTGCCAAGATCTCGCGAGATCGCGCCAACGGCCGCCTCGACCACGCCTCTTTGCAACGCGACGTCCACCAACCCCCCCATTCTCGCGAGACTTGCGGCTTTTCGCCGCCATGGCTGCTAAGGGCACCGCCGCCGGGGGAGGAAGCGAAACCATTTGAAGCGCCCATTTTGCTCGCGGGCACGGAGGGTGTGGAGCCGGGGGCGAGGCCGCGGCGGCGGCTTGCCGGGACAACCGGCACGGAGGGAGCGGGGGAAAGAAAAACGAAGTGGGCGGTGGGGGGGGAAGGTGAGCGGAGGCGGTTAGTACGGGGCGCGGGGAGGGACAATATCGGCGAGTGGGCGGGGCTTGGCTCCTCCGTTGCTCTCCAGCCCTGGGCGTGGAGTCAAGGAAGGGGGCGTGGCCGCTCCTCAGCCGTGCCCCCTCCTCTGGGCGGGGCTAAGCCAGCTGGTCTTGCAGTTCCTGCATTTTTATATTATTATTTTAGCCGTTGAGGTTTTATTTCTCCCTCTTGCCACAATCAGTCCAGTTGCTTTGGCTTCTGATTAAAAAAAAACCCGGGCCCTCCTTTCTGCCCCGACCCCTGCCTCCTCCTGCTGGCATGACAGCTTCACCTGTTGAGTGTCTGCCTGCATCCCTGCTCTGAGAGTGACTTGTTTGCAAGGCGTTTCCTTGGAAATACATCCAGCCGGATGCCATGGGACCTCCTGGCAGGTAAGAAGGGCTGCAATTTAATTTAGGGGGGGGGGTAGGTGGGAGAAAACGTGGGTCTCTTTGTCAGAGAAGCTGCCTAAATTCTCATCAGAATGAGCTGAGTGGCTGGAAATAAAATAAAATGAAAGGAAATGCTGTTGGTTATGCCTGGCATGGCAGGAAGAGAGCCACATTAATTTATGATAGAAAAAAAATTGGGATTTCTTCCACGAGTGCCTTTTCCAACTAATAATAATATGTTTTTTTTTTGTAAAAAAAAAATCTGTGCTGCCCAATTTCCAGTAATTTCTCAGCGGTATAAATCATCTTATTAAAGGCAGAAGCTTGTTTACAAATGCCAGACAGATCTTTAATTGCCAAGGTCCAGCCAATGTCATTGCTCTAATTGATTATAGTGTTTGCGTGTCTCCCTTAATGCCACAGTTATTTGTTACTTCTATGTAACACGTGACCGATTCGGTCACCCTTTTAGAGATCTGTTTGCAAGCTGTTCAAATATTGGTTTGTGTGTTGCCACAATCCTGCACTTTATACTGTGTGAAAGGAAGATAATTTTATTTCCCCAAAATAACTTCCCTTGAACACTGAAGGATTTCAGATTCACCAAAAACACCTATATGAAAAAAGCGTCTTTTGTTTTTTCCCCCCTATCCACTCTGAAGAGAGAAAACCATCTGAATGTCAAATGGAATTACCTTCCCTTTCAAAAAATCCAATAGTTGGGAAGTTTTGCCTCTTTATTTTATTATTTTTAAAATTTATCAATACAAACCAGAAACAACGCTGTTAACATTGATATATGAAAATAATTGGCCATTTCAAATTGGCTATTAATCTCTTCGGAAGCTGTAGCTTTTTATTAAACGCGTATACATATTTTGTCCAGCAATTTTATTTGTATAGTAACAATAATGCAAAGGAAGATACCGAATTGGGGATATATTCTTGAAGGAAGCTATTAATTTTCACAGGTCTGACAATAATGGGCTTTGTGGTTATTCTCCATCCCATCTTAAATTAAAATCCCGCAAATAAATCTGTTTGCAAGGGCAAAGTTTTCGGGCTGTTTTTCTCTGGAGGATATTGTATGTGAGGGAGCCAGGAAATTCTCCTCCCTCTCCAAAAAATAAAAATAAAAAAAAATACATCCTCGGGTGTTGTAGTCTTTAACAAATGTGGACTTCCTCCATTGTATATGTTGTGAGATTGAGACATCTCTAACAATACTCAGAATGAAGGAAGTTTACAAAGAGGATATGGTTTTGTGCCTTAAGGCAGTTTTTTACAGTAATCATTCCACGTAAACTGCCTCCTTTGATTTTTCTGGCTGTCAAAATGCACAGCGTGAAGCCCAGTCTGTTCACTGGGAACGCAATAGAGATTAAACAATGCGGGGGGAAAGGATCTGACTTAAAGCCAGATCATGATGACTTGAGGCAAAAAAAGATTGATTATGTGCCATAAACTCACTACTGTCTCTTAGCCATCTCATAAATAGATCTTCTCTGTGACGATCTGTCCCTAATTGCACTTTAGGGGTTAATAACTACCCAATGAGGACGCTTAAGGATTTTTTATTTATTTTTTCCTGGATTGGGCCTGGCCACTTATATTACTTTGTTGATGAACCATGGCTGTCCTCTAAATGTTGACATGTGCTACTAATGGTACGAAGAAGGTCTTAAGCAGGAGGATAATTTAATGAGAGAATGGTGGGGTCCTTGGTGGTCTCCAAGCTTGGTTTTCTTGCACATGTTTTATGACCCAACTAGGTAGTATCATCAGTGCTACCTAGAAGGGAGTGAAGCTTCGTAAATGAAGGAGGAGGATGGCGGGATCCTTGGTGGTTTTCTTACAGACATTTCATTACCCAACTGAGTAGCATCATCAGTGCTAGAGGGGAGGGGAGGAGGAAGAGGAAGAGGAGAAGGACTCTGGGTCCATTCTGGTTTTCTTGAAAACATTCCATTACCCAGCTGAGTAACCTCATCAGGGCTCCGACGAGAGAACTCCTACTTGGCATTTTCAAGAGGACATCCCTATCTTAATGACTCATCTTCATTTCCGTTGGCAATCAGCCAGTCTTCGCCTCCGCTTACCTTCCAGAGGTTTTGTCCTACACCTCACCTTCCCTGATCATTGTGCTTGGAGGCTGGGGCTGATGGGGATTTGTGCCTAACAGCAACTGCAATCAAAGACAGTGGGTGTCAAAGATAGGTTGTCAAGATGATAGGTTGTTAAGATAATGTTCATATCCGAGGGTGGGGTAGGCAGAACCTGCCGGGCAGGCTAGGCTGCCGATGACTTTACCTGGGATGGATTCTTGATCTTCCTGCTACTCAGATTCCGATTGCCATCCTGCTGAACTGGGATAAATGGAGACAGGAGTCAAGATGCCGCTCTTCTTTCGGAAAAGGAAGGCGAGCAACGAAGCCCGGAAACGCCTAGAATATCAAATGTGTCTCGTAAGTCATGAGAAGACAACCAAGTCCTAAATAGCTGGCCCCACCACTCTATCAGAAAACTGCTTGGGTTGTAAGGTGGGTAGAAGGTGTTTCTCAGAAGCTTCCTGAGGGACCACAGTAGAAGAAGTCTTCTCTCGTCCTGCTCCTCTGAGGTGGGATAAAGCTCTTGGCAACCACAGTTGACCACTGCTCTCTTAAGTTACAACATCTCCCCAACCTTGTGACTTCTTCATCTCCCGTCATGGCTATGTAGAAGTTAATAGGCCGTGACTTCAAAGACCCCGAGGACCTGCTAACTAAGTAGGGTTTGTTTACTAGAAGATCCCAAGGAAACTACCGTAGAACACGTTCAGTTCTTCACACTTGGGAAATTCACCATATTGTTCAGTTCCACCTTTTTTCTAGCTGGCTTTTACCGTAACGGTAGAAGCTGAACGAAACACTAATTTGAGGTCAACTGAAATGATTCCCCCCCCCTTGATTTTTGCCGCCAATAATCTACCTATTATTTTCAACAGGCAAAGGAAGCGGGAGCAGATGATATTCTTGACATCTCCAGGTGTGAACTTTCTGAGGTAGGTTTTCTCCATTTCTAGTTCCTGGTGGGTTAGTCGCCCAAACGATGGCAACTGTTAGGATGGGAACTTTGTAGTCATACAGGTAGTCCTCAACTTACAACAGTTCGCTTAGTAACCGTTGGAAGTTACAACGGCTGTGAAAAAAGGGACTTGCGACTGTTCTTCACCCTTAAGACCGTTGCAGCCTCCCCAGGGTCACGTGATCGAAATTCAGACGCTTGGCAACTGACTCGTACTTATGGCGGTTGCAGTCATAAGGTCGTAAAACGGGGCAAAATTCACTTAAGAACTGTGTCGCTTAGCGACAGAAATGTTGGGCTCCGTTGTGGGCGTACGTCGAGTTATCTTTTTTTTTTCTTTTTAGCTTCCCTACGGTGCCTTTTCGACCTGCAAAGTATTGCAGAAGAAGGTAAGAAAGAAGCGCCGTTTCCATTTTGAAAAAGGACACTTCAGAGTTACTATGAGGAATTTCACCAAATACCTTGAATTTCATTAAAACGCTTCTAGAAAATTCTCTCCAGGGCCAGAAAGGAGTTCCTCAAATTCTCAAAATGGCGAGAAATCGGCTTTGTTCAATATTTCATCCACCCCGCCTGTTGCTTGCATTTAGATTCAGACTTCTCTTTGATCAGATATACTGCGTATCTCAAACTCTTCTATTAAATTCTTCCATTTGTACTTTCAGATAACCCAGTTTAACTGGTCTCTCATTTCCAGGTCAGCAAACAGCGCAGACCATAATCTAACTCAGTTTCCAGGGGAAGCACCTAAATAATACTTTATGGGCAGAAATGGTTTCTTAATCGGGGCGCATGTAGAGGGCATCGGGGACCCCCTTGAAGAACAAAAGGAAGAGCTGCCCAAAGATAAGAGGGGCTTAAACGCAAGCTTTAAAAAAAAAGTAATTGGAGAAAACAGACAAGCTCCTTCCTAATTGACATGAAGATAATTTAGAACATAGAATATATAATAATAGAGATGGAAGGGAACTTGGAGGTCATCTAGTCCAACCCCCTGCTCGAGCAGGAGATCCTATACCATTTCGGACAAATGCCTGCCCAGTCTCTTTTTGAAATTGAAGGAGTTTGATGCACATTTAGACATGCCAGATTTAGGCTTGCAGTGACCAATATGCCACTGAATTCTTGCCCTGGTCTACCTTCCATTGTGTGTTTATGTGACTCTGAGCTAGCCTTGATTCTTCTTAAGCCATATTTTGTCATGTATAAACCACAATAATTAGCTTCATATGCTTCCTAAACTCCTAAAACAAACTTTACAGGGGTCAGGAGGATGCATTCAATCCTCTAGCCCAATATGATGGTTTAATCCAGTGTGTGATCCAAATCATAATATCATTGTCCTGTTGTAATACCTTCTACGGTGTTTTTCTTTCAGGTGCTGATCGCTCACACCAATTTTTTGATGTCCCTCGTCCCCAAATCCTGCAGCCTCTCTAACCTTGTAACAATAAAGGTGATTCGCAGTCCTTTTCATCAACTATTGTGGAAGCTTGTAAAGATCCAGAATCGAAAGAACAAGCCGTTAAACATAGTTTAGAACTGCCTGTATTTTAACCACTTTTCAGGGGGGGGCAGTCCGAAGCTGCGGTGGTATTCTTGCATTCCCAGTTTCTGGATGACAATCCCATCACCCTTGGTGGTTCACCGTGGAGGCTGGCCAGAAGATTATTGGAACAACCTCTTGAGAGAGAGTGGATTGTTATGGATTTCTTTTTATCTCCTGTTCCAGGTTTTAGATCTCCATGATAACCAGCTGACCTCCCTTCCTGCCGATATCGGCCAGTTGATTTCTCTCCAGGTAAAGAAGTTGCGGATGCTCGGGAACTTTTGGCACTTTCAGGAACCAATGTGGCCCTTTCTATCCCTTTCGAGGTGATTCCACACTGGCACAAAGTCACGGACTGAGATTTATAGATCGCTCGGGGTTGACTCGGCAGCTTTAAGACGGGCATGTTGTCCCTTGACGCCGTTTCTGTTCTTCGTAGGTTTTGAATGTAGAAAAGAACGTTTTAAAAGCTCTTCCGGACTCGATTGGGGACCTTGTTCAGCTTCAGACGCTGAATTTGAAAGGTATGGCAAAACATTTGTCCGCGTGTATCTGGAAAGAACAACCGTTCTGGTTTTTAACTTACACTTTTTTGGGGGGGAGAAAAAGATGCAAGAAACAGTGGATTCAATTGAAAGTTTGCTGATAATGGTTCATTTTTTCCAGTTTAAAAATGTTAGAAGAAGACGTGGCCACCTTGAGTTTTGCATCCAAGGGATATAATCACTGGGCTTCCACCATAATTTAGCCTAGCAGGAATAAATTTTGCTTTGGAGGCCTAAGAAAGAGTTCCAAAATTGATTTTTGTTTCCCAAATGAAGGCAAACGTACACGTCCCAGGATAACGTCGCAGGATCCAATCTGGGTCGGTCACAGGATTCTTGTTTTGATTTTTGCTCGTTGCTTGAAGCCAGATCCAGTCACAGTTGATCCTCTGTGCTACAGCTGATAAAAGAATAAGATAATTTCAAAGCTGTACATTTGGTGACCGTTTCCATTAGCCATGGGGAAGTCCAAAGTGCACATTAGGGATCAACCAGTACAAACTACAGTTAAACTAAAACTAAAGCTGAAAGCCTCCAGAGGGCAGCTTGGTATAGTATAAACCAGGGGTCTTCAAACTTGGCAACTTTTAAGACTTGTGGACTTCAACTCCCAGAATTCCTTAGCCAGTTTGAAGACCCCTGGTATAACCAAACCCCTGCGTCTTGAGTGCATAAGTAATCAGAAGCCTTAAGAGCCCTGCTGATTATGAGTAAATAAAATCAAAATGCAGCTTAACAACTGTCTGAAGTTTCAAGAGTCAAACTGGAACAGATTCTCCATGCCTGCCAAATGTTTTTACTTTCTGCTTTCTGTTTTTTCCTTGCAGGCAACAAGCTCAAGCAACTGCCCTCCACCCTGGAGGGCCTGCGGAGTCTGCGAACATTGGACATCAGTGAAAATTCGGTCCAGGAGTTGCCGCAGACACTGGCTCACATCCGAACCTTGGAGGTAGCGTTACAAGCTTGGCTCGAAGTTGGCCTGTCCCTTAGGCCGTCGTTCTTACAAACGGTTCATTTAGTCGCAACGGCACTGAAAAAAGGGACCCAGGGCCGTTTCTCACACTTAATAACCGTTACAGCATCCCTGTGGTCACAGGATCAAAATTCAGACTCTTGGCAACTGACTTTACGACGGTTGCAGTGTCCCGGGGTCATGCGATCCCCTTTTGTGACCTTATTACGAGCAAAGCCAGTGAGGAAGACAGATCCATTTAACAACTGTCTTACTAACTTAACAGCTATAGCACGAATGGTCGTAAAATGGGGGCAAAACTCACTTAACAGATGTTTCAGCCACATAAAACTTGGGGCTGCCTTGTGTTCTCGTATATATCAAGGACCGCCTGTAAGTTACATCAGCAAGATTTCGGGTCCTGGCTTAATCCAGATTGACGGCAGCTCCGGTGTGTGTGTGTGTGTGTGTGTGTGTGTTCCTCTCTGGCAGACGCTGTCCCTGGATGCTTCAGGAATGGTTTACCCACCGGGTGAGGTCTGCAGCATTGGCACCGAGGCCATCCAGCAGTTCCTCTGTGACCGTAAGCAAAAGGGAGACTCTCGTTGCTTAGCAACGAAAAGTTTGGGCTCAATTGTTGGCCTACGTTGAGGGCTACCTGTATCGCACAGACCCATGTGACATTGTGATGTGTGGGTTTCCTTCCAGAACTGGGCACAAAATACAACCCTCCCTCTCAGTATTTACTCCCTGTGTTGGAAAGCGAAGGCGAGGAGACATCAGTGGATGGCGTCCGGAGAACAGCTGACAAATACATGGAAGATGAAGCCGAGTGGCAAGTGAGTGTTAACTCTTCCCAAAATATACAAGGATGCCTTTTTAGGAGATTTTTTTCCCTAAACTCACAGGAACCAGTTTTATGGACTGGCCTCCAGCCAGGGCGTTTCCCCGTAGAGCTTGTGTAGAACATCTACTTTCTGGCGAAGTCTACCCCAAAAAACAGTTGCTAGACAGAGACACAAAGGAAAGCGACCGGTTTTCTCTGAATTCTGTTCCCACGAGAACAGCGGGCGGAAGCAATAAAGTCATTGTGGTTATTTGCACAGTCAGCCAGATGTTTAGACTGGATTTGGCCTTTTTGTCCACCTATTGTCCACCTTCCCAAGAACCTGGGATAGGCAGATGTTGTTCTTTGATGGTGTTCAAGGACTGACGGCCGGATGTAAGCTGTTTCAAGTCAAGCTGCCTTTTGCAATGAACCAATGGGGATTTTTATTTTTTTGTCAATGCCACAGTGTCCAGTGTTGTTGTTATTACGGTTTGTTGCACAGTCAGCCAGATGTTTAGACTGGGTTTGGCATTTTTGTCTACCTGCTGACTCCTTCCCAAGGATCTGGGATAGGCAGATGTTGTTGTCTGATGGCATTAAAGGGATCGTCCCAGGATGTAAGCTGTTCCAAGCCAAGCTGCCTCTGGCAATTGACTAATAGGACGTTTGTCAATGCCGATAGTCAATTGCAAAATTGTTATGTATGAAACTTGCACACCGCTAGTCTCCCGATGACTTTTGGTGACTCACAACAATCAAAGAAATTACAATCAAAGGCTAAAGGCGGAGATGAATAGCCAGGACTTCCCAAGTCTTCTGAAGAAAAACAAAACCACACCATGTTTGCGTTCAGCTGCTGGTTAAAATCAGTCTTGCTTACTTCTCCGTTTACTTTCATTGCAGAACAAGTTTCTAGACTATGAGAAGCGAAAGGTAAGACGCCCGTGAGGTCTCCCTCCCTACTCCTCGTTGTGGGATTGGCCAACCTGTTCCATTCATCTGCTGATGGGAGGTGACATAAGGATTAAATCAGAGGTCCCCAACCTTTTGGGCACCAGGGACCGAAACGTGGAGAGAGGTTTTTCCACAGACTGGAGAGTGCGTGGTTTTGTGTGCTGCCTGCATCCCACAGATGGGGCTTTGCTTGTTTGTGCGGACCGGTTGCTGGTATGCCACAGCCCAGTACTGGTCTACAGACCAGGGGTTGGGGACCCCTGGATTAAAAAATAACCACTGTAGAAAATCAGATATTTTGCTTAGGATCACTTCCTGGTTCAAAAGGCCCTGTGGGTCAAAGGACAGGCACAGACTATCTTCTCTTCCAACTGTGTTTGAGAGAGAGAGAGAGGCCCTGAGCTGAATACGGCGAGATCAGGGTTATAAATCGGCAGAGGTCTCTGTTCACCTGATAGGAGCAGAAGATGCAGGAGAAGCTGGAATTTGAGCGTTGGCTGGATCTGGAGCAGAGAGAACAAGTCCACTTGATGCATCAAAGTCACGTCCAGAAAGGAGAATTTCTCCAAAGCATGAAAGAGGTATAGGGCATCTGCACCTCCAGTTTTTCCCCATTCCTACCACAGATACCTTCACGCCAGATCGTTGAAGCCTAGCAGTTGAATTGAGGACGTACCGCTGTAGACTTGATTGTGAGGAAGTGGGGCAGGAACGGGAGGAATTCCAGGCAGAAATAATTCACAGAGGAGAGAAGACAGCAATTTGCAGCTAGTCCTCAACTAACAGTTGAGCCAACCTTTCCGTTGCTAAGTAAGACAGCGGTTAAGTGAGTTTTGCCCCATTCTACGACTTTTCTTGCCAGATTTGTTTTAAGTGAATCACTCTGCTGGTAAGTTAGTAATATAGATGCTAAAGGAATCTGCTTCCCCTTTGACTTGGCTTGTTGGAAGGGGATCTGGCATTAGATTTGACACAAATCAGGCTGAATCTGAATTTCCTTGCCATGTGGCTTCAGCATCGGGAATGGCTTTCCCTCTCAAATTTCAGGAGCAGATGAAACTGGAGGAAGGCCTGACCCGCCATCAGCAGCGCCTGGGGACCGAGCGCTTGAAGCTGCTGGATCAGCTGAAGCAGATGGAGCAAGGGGTGGCCAGCAGGATCCAGAAACTGCTGGAAGATAACCAAAGGTAAGAGATCCGCTGAGCAGAAGAGGGGAAATCAGTTGGTGTCTGGAAGCCATAGAATCAATTCTACACCTTTGTAGATCGGAGGGGTGGGTTCAAGTAGTCCTCGACTCACCAGCAGCAGCAACAACACTTAGACTTATATACCGCTTCGTAGTGCTTTGCAGCCCGCTCTAAGCGGTTTATAGAGTTAGCATACCGCTCCTCAACAACCTGGGTCCTCATTTTACCGGCCTCGGAAGGATGGAAGGCTGAGTCAATCTTGAGCTGATCAGGATTGAACTGCTGGCAGTGGGCAGAGTCAGCCTGCAATACCGCAATTCTAACCACTGTGCCACCACGGCTCTTACGACTTAACAATTTACGACTACAATTGGGACCGGAACTTCTGTTGCTAAGCTGTCATTAAGTGAGCCATACCCAATTTTACAACCTTTGTGGCGTGGACGTGAAGCGAATCCAGCTTCACCCATCGATTTGCTTGTGGGAGGCCGGCTAAGAAGGTTTATCAATGTTGATCACGTGACATTGCACCGGTCGTAAATACGTGCCGGTTCCAAAGGCCCAAATTTTGATCAAGGGATCGATCACAGGATGCTGCAATGGTCAAGGACTGGTTGTAAGTTTTTTTTTCCAGTTCTGTTGTAACTTTGATTGGTTGTTAAATGAAGATCCAAGATCCAGACTTAGTAGTCCTTAGCAGAGCTGATCAGCATAAAGGCTGGATGGTGACTCTTTGTTTATTAAATCTTTCTAGGCAGAAACAAAGTTCTGAGATCTTGAAATCCCTCGAGAACGACCGGTGAGTTTCCTGCTTTTCTTGGCCACGGTTCGTTGCCTTCTCAATTGCTCCCAAACCAGGAATCCTGATTCACCAACCATCATAGCTGGTTCCAAATGAAGCAAACTGGGGGTGGATAAAACGTGACTCGGCCCGCAAGCTAGCAACCAAGACAATCTTTTCCTAAACTCTTGTGACTGAACAGCAAACCTTACAACCCTTTGGTGGGCCAATGCTCACCCCAAACATCTCCAGAAAAAAATACTCCAAAGTTTTCCACGGGGACAAGGAGACACCAACATCAGTGGGAGAGGGGAGGGGGGAAGGAAATCTGAAAATTGGGCATCCTGAGAATGTGTAGCCCAGCTTGAACCTCGCAAGTGGGGTGAAGGGAAAAAGATGGTGGAGATGGAACTCTTGAGAAAAGTTGAGGGGAACCGAAGGGCCTCTGACTTCTCTTGCATCTCTCCTAGGATCCGGATGGAGCAGCTGATGGCCATCACTCAGGAAGAAACGGAACAGCTGAGGAGGAAAGAAGTAGCCGGTAAGTACAGGGGTACCTTGGTACTCAACGGCTTTGAGAGTCATCGAAATTGGGACTCGGCTCATTTTGACGTGAACATTTTGCCTCGGTACTCCTCGTTCGTTTGGTACTCAACGCACAAGCTAGAACTTGTCGCTATCGGCTGCTTTGTGACTCACTACATTATTCCTTATGGGAAAAATTCATTTGCTTCTCATTGTTTTTGGTACTCATCACTCCTCCCCGGAAACAATTAACGATGAGTGCGGAGGTACCCCTGTGTGGCCGTTGATGGGGCTCAAATGCTTGCCCTGTCATCTCCATCTTGCTGTGTCATCGTCTTGGAGGGTTGAGGAGCTCAGCCCTTGCCAGAGAATCCCTGCTGGAGATGTGTGATCTGTTTTCTTTTATTCATTTTTTCCATGATTTAATCTGTGTCGCCTCTCTGTGGCTCACCACCATGAAAAACCAGAGCAAATATAAATAGAAACAGCCACCATACTAAAATAACTCTTTTTTAAAGTTTTTGTGGCACTGCAGGCATGGATTATACTTACCTGGCAACTGAAATTATGCCTTGTGTTTAAGGGTTAAAGTTAAGGCTATTAACTCTTCTTTTTTCCCCAATTTCCCTCTCCCAGCGGCCATGAAGCAGATGTTGTCTGAGACCTACAAGAACAGACTTCTTCAGGGGGCCTATGAGTCTCGCCGGCAGGACCTGGTCAACCAGACGTGTTCCAGGTACTGAAGAAGACGTGGATTGGGGGAATGTTATTTTCATGGGTGTGCCAGCCCAGTAAAGAGCCTGGGAAAACAACTGTAGGCACCCATCTCTCTGCAAGAACGTGGCAAGTTAGGCTAGCAGAGGAGGAACGCTGGGTCCAACCTTACGTAGCGTCAATTTGAACCTGATTCCCTCTGATTTTAATTTAATTCTCAGTCACAAGACTAGGGAAATCTCTCCCTTTGTGGAAGTTCTCCAGAACGTTGTGGAAGTTCTCCAGAACTTTGTGGGACCTGCTAGGTGAAGGAGTTGGGAACCTCCAGAAAAAGAGAGGAAAGCTGTTCCTAGAAGTCTACTTTCACCTGTGGTGAAGCATCTGAGCAATATAGGTCCTACTCCTTGTGGGAGAATCCAACTTTATCAGGTTCTGATGCCAGACTAGGAAGAGAACACTGCCTACCTGACCTCTTTGAAAAATCCAAAATACTTAAAACAATTTGAAGGAGACATAATTGGTAGTGTTGGCCTATGTTAACCCATAAATCCAAGTTCATAGACCATACTTGCTGTGTTCTCCTACGACTTGAGGCTCAAAGCAGTCAGGGCCCCTTTCCCCAAGAACTCTTCTCTTTCAGCCTTGCCAAGATGGATGAGAAGTTCCAGCAGATCCTGGCTTGGCAGCAGCTGGATCAGAACAAAGCCATCAGCCAGATCCTGCAGGAGGTATTATGGGGGGGTGGAAGGGTATTCATTCATGGTAGAAGGAATTAAGCAGAACCTTGACTAGGAGAACGAACCAATCTTGGAAGCCACCTTAATCATTGACCAAGCGTTGATTTCTCTGGATCAATGAAGAGGCAGGCAATGGATGTGCTTGAGATGCATTGGGCTACAATTCCTATCAGTACAGCCAATGGACAAAGACAATAGGCCCTGTAGTCAAAGTCTAGAAAGCTAGAAGATTCCTCCAGTGGACTCCAGCATCCAACGTTAGATGCTCTTCGGGCTTCAGGCTTTCCCAGCCATTGCTTAGAAGCTCCCTTCACCCTTGAAGTGATCTTAACGGGAATTTCTTTGGATCGCTAAAGCCAGAACTAAGCAAATTAGGCTTGAGGTTGTGTTGTCATACAAACATAGCTTTGAATCAAGCCTCAAATGGAGAGAAATCCGATGAGATTCTGTTAGATCCACTTAAAAACGGATCTGTATGTCTTAGAAACAAATGTCTTTGCACAGGTTCACAAGGCGAACTCTAGAGATGGGGGTCCTTGCCCTGTTGTTTGTCTCTTTAAAAAAGTCTAAAAAGAACCCCAGTTTATTTCTGGCCGAAGAGGGCAAAAGGTCACATTTTTGCCTCCCCGTGCCTTGTTTTAAGGCTTCCCACCTGGTTTGGCCTTTCTTGGAAACTCGATCCTGGACCTTGGTCTCCTTCCACAAAGCAGTTGTTCCGCTCTTGTGGTTTGACAACAAGACTCCAGGCTTTTGGAGGCTGTTGTCACATTAACTGACCTTTCTGGGGAATTCAGGTGGACTTCACACACTTGTGTTCTTTCTGCAAAGATCTTTGCTTTGGGAATATTCTGATAGTGGGACCCTGCGTTATTCATCTGTGCAATTGCAATTCTTTAAATTTGGTAACAAAAACGTAGCTTTTCCAAATCTATATCTATCTATCTATCTATCTATCTATCTATCTATCTATCTATCTATCTATCTATCTATCTATCTATCTATCTATCTATCATCTATCTATCTATCTATCTATCTATCTATCTATCTATCTCTATCTCTCTGTGTCTATTTATCTATCTGTGTCTGTCTATCTATCTATCTATCTATCTATCTATCTATCTATCTATCTATCTATCTATATCATCTATCTATCTATCTATCTCTGTCTATCTATCTCTATCTCTCTGTGTCTATTTATCTATCTATGTCTGTGTCTGTCCGTCCGTCCGTCCGTCCGTCCATCCATCCATCCATCCATCCATCTATCTATCTATCTATCTATCATCTATCTATCTATCTATCTATCTATCTATCTATCTATCTATCTATCTATCTATCTATCTATCTATCTATCTATCTATCAATCATCAGGCTTCCGGAAATCTTTAGAGTACCTAAATCAGTGTTTTGATCTATATCTGACTCTGCAATGTTGACGAGGATCATCCATTGCTTAAAGTCAAGTGTGTATTTTGCAAGTGGGTGGAATAGAGATCCCAGACTCAGTCAGTCTCACTTTTCTGTAAAAAAAAAAAGGTGCCAGGTAACATAGGTGAAAAAAGACCCACCCTTGTCTGCGAACTCTAGAGAGCTGCGACCACCGTGTAAATACAGCCCTGGATTAAATAGACTTGTCTAATGATGCAGAATTTTCACACTAGGGAGGAAGGACCTCGTAGCTTAGTGGGTAGGTCATCCTGGCTTGCTTCCATCCTGGAAAGCTTGCTGGAATGTTTTTGAGTTCATGGTTGGAGAAAGAGAATTAGGAGTGAGGGAAGAGAGATGGACAGACCGTTGGTCTCGGGTAATTTAAGGCAGCTTCCGATCCTCACAAGAACTCGGGTCTCCACCTTTTAGAGCGAGATGCAGAAGGCAGCCTTCGAAGCCCTCCAGGTGAAGCGAGACGTCATGCACTGCCAGATCAGAAACCAGGTGAGTGCCAAAGTTAAGACTTGGGAGGAGATGCAGGGGAGGGGGGAGGCCGCATCACTCATCCCTTCCTGAACTGGAAGACGTCTTTCTCAAACCTGGCCTGGGTACCCATCCTGGTCAGAAGAGGAGAACTTGGTAGCCGGGACAAGTCATGTTTTTTCTGGGCCAATCTACTATGCCTCCCCTCTGGGACGGCTTTGCTGCGCTCCTCCCACCCTTCCGACGGTCCATAAAAACCTCATCTCCATGGTTCTGTTTCCATGTGTTTGTCGTCATTTGTTTCTGTTGCTTGTCCGAGACTCATTTTGACCAACATTGACGCCCCCACCGCTTATGAACGCAGGATCACTGCCGGAGGGAACGGTTTGCCAGAGGCCCATAGATGGTAGAGTTTGCAATTTCTCCCACCTTGTTCCCCTGACTGCACCTTTTCTCCTTGTCTAGTGGGTTCCTCAGGCCTAACAGGTGGTGGACAAGGGTATTGGTGGACTCTCCTGTTCTCTGGTGGCTTCGCTGTGGCGCTACAAGCTCTGGCTCATCCCAAACCACATCCTGAGCCTTCCAGAGAGGCCACGGAAGCTTCAGAGCTCTCCCTTTTGAACGTCACGTCTTCCCAAAAAGAAGCTGGATATCCAGAGCTTGTAGCTTCCATTCATTTGACTCCACAAAGTATTCCAGATGTTTCAGGGTTGTACGGGGTGCTTCCCTGGCTGTCCTCACGTCTAGGGTGACATACGAAGAAGGAACGTGTCTGTGGGGATGCCCAGTCCTCCAGGTCAGGGCTGTCCCAAAGCTGCTTTCTCAAGACTTCCTTGTTTTTCTCTGAAGACCTTTTGCTTCTTCTCCTCCAAGAAGCTTCTTCAGCTCTGACTGGGTGGTGGGGCACCCATTTGCACCACTCAGGTGACCCTGAGGACACAGATAAACCTCCGGGTGGCCTCAGCAACTCTCTGAAAGAAGGCAAAACGACCAGCTGTCTGCAAGGAGTATAAATCCTTCCATTCCTCCACCATCCAGTCGGAGCTGAAGAAGCTTCTCGGAGGAGAATTCCCTGTCCAGTTTTGCCAGGAACTCTGAGCAGTTACCCAAATCTGTTTGGCTGAAGGAAGTGGAGTTCCTCTCCCCCCCCCCCCCCGGCCGCCCTCCAAAAAGGCCGGTGTGATTAGGAAACACACACACACACACACACACAACCACCCACTTCCCTTATTTCATCTTCTCCGTAGATTAAGTTAATAGAGAGAGAGTTACTCGTTGAGTGGGTCAACCTCAATTTCTCCGTCGTCGACCTGTGCCTCCGAGACGTCCATACAGTGGGGAAGGGGAAAAGTCTGGTCGTGGGGGAGGACGAACCGAGGGAGGAGGAGGAGGAGAAGGAGGAGGAGGGACTAGAGACGAAATCGTTGAACCTCTCCTTCCGAGTCACGTCAAAAGGGTCAGGGGGCAGAGGACCTTTTGCCCGACAGCCTCCTGCAAACGCTGCCAGGATTCTGGAGATCGGTCGGCCTAGAGATGTGGGAGGGGTTGAGCAAGAGGACCCTGTAAGAAGCCGGGCTGTGACTGTCAAGTCAGAAATCACAAGAGGGAATCGTGACACTAGTGGGTAGCAGGAAGTGGGTGGAAGGGAATGGAGGTCGTCCTTGACTCACGAACCGCAACGGAGCCCCAGATTGCTAGGCAAGGGGAATTTTGTCCCGGTTGACGACCTCTCTGGTCTCCGTTGTTAAGTGGATCGTTTTCATCGTTAAGCAAGTCGCTCGGTTGTTAAGCGAATCTGGCTTCCCGGTTGACTTGGCTCGTCGGAAAGTCGCAACCATCGCCAAGCATCCGAATTTTGAACACACAACCCTGGGGGATGCTGCCGCCATCGTGAGTGTGAAAATGGTCACCAGTCACTTTTTTCAGTAATTTAGAATGGTCACTAAAGGGACGGTCGTTAAGTCAAGGACCACCTGCGTAAGCTGGCTGAGCATTTCATATTTTCCCCCCTATGGTTTCTTTCTGGCTATTTTTGCTTCAGTGTGTGCTTATCCCACCCACCCCCTTTTACCAAAAGGACACCATTCCAGCTGGCTCATTCCATCTCTCCAGCTGCATGAATCCCGTACGGGCGCTAAAACCAAGGTTGCATGTCTTTTGGAAAAGAACTTTTGTGGGGGGGTTTTACAAAAAAGGATCCTTCGTTTCTAGTCCTCGTGGACATAGAACGCATCGCACAACGTTCTCTTTAAAACCAAAACAGGAAGGGAGCCTTTAAGAAGCTAACAAATCAGCGCCATGAAGATTCAAAGATTTATTATTATTATTATTATTGATGTTACTGTACCCTGCTGGCTGGAATTTCGGCAGCGAGGCTGAATTTGGGCAAACTCTGGGAGACAGCTGAGGACGGGGGGTGGTCCTGGCATGCTGTGGTCCACAGGGGTTGTGTGAAAAGTCACAAGAAGGCTCTGCTAGATGATGGAGTCTCAGGCTAATTGATAAGCAGGGGGCAGGGAACATTTTGAGCCTTGCCGAATTTTAACTTCCAACGGAAAGTGCCAAGTTTTAAAAATCGGGGAGAAAAAAGATGGGGGGCTGTGTTCCAGCCAGGGAAAGAAGGAAGGAAGGAAGGTTCAGTCTCCTTCTAAAACACACCCACAACCATGTTGTGTTGCAGGAAGCAATTGGAGAGCAACGGCGCACTTTGAGTTATCTGCTGCAGCAGCTGCTGAAGGAGAAAAAAGAGCGAGAAGAGGAACTGCAAGCCATTCTGGTAAAGGGCCTGGTGGGGGGGGGGGGGGGGGCAGCTTGCCTGCAGTACCTATTTATCTACTCGCACTTGCGTGCTTTCCAACTGCGAGGAGCTGGAGCAAGGGACGGGGGCTCGCCCCGTTGAGCGGCTCTTGGGTCTCAAACCTGGGTGGTCAGTTTTGCAGCTGACAACCTCAGCGTCTTTAACCACTGAGCCCTCACACACACACACACACACATATCCCTCTGTAGTTGTAGCTTTACAATAAACAAGAATGAGGGCATCTGTGGAGAACTTCACCTGCTTGGGGTCAACCTTACCAGGATGGATGAACCAAAGACTGGCCTTCGTTTAGGGCAGGGGTCCCCAACCCCCCGGTTCGTGGACCGGGACCGGTCTGCAGCGTGCCAGCAACCGGTCCACACAAACAAGCAAAGCCGCATCCGCGGGATGCAGGCAGCACACAAAACCACGTACTCTCCGGTCCATGAAAAAACCTCTCGTGGAATTGGTCCCTGGTGGCCAAAAGGTTGGGGACCTCTGGTTTAGGGCACGTTTGACCTGGTGGGATAGCCTCCAGCAGTTTGCCCCTGCGTGGTTCTCAGGCAGGTCAACCAAGGCTCAACCAGCTCTTAATGTTCTTTCTTTCTCTCTCCTTTTCCCAGAAAGAATTGGAGGCCAAGAGTGAGACGAAGCAGGAGAACTACTGGCTGATCCAGTACCAACGACTCTTAAATCAGAAGCCCCTCTCTCTCCGGTTGCAGGTGACTGGCGGCCAACAGGCAGAGAAAATCTCATTTATTTTCTTTCTCTCTCTCTCTCTCTCTCTCTCTCTCTCTCTCTCTCTCTCTCTCTCTCTCTCTCTCTC